GTATTCAAATGTGCATGTTTCATATTGATCTGTATGTTTATGTTATAGCATCAAAAAACAGTTTGATTTGGTATTTAAAAAATAAATGATTAGATCTTGAGTAATTTGGGGGCATTTTCAAATATTATATAATGGTCGAATGATTACTTATTAACCTATTAACCGCAGTGCTACAATATCATAATTCAATCATTATGATGTAAACATTCCATAGAGGTACCGGTAGTGAGAATTTGTATTTTAATATTTGATCAAATGTCATTGTGATTGGAGATAATAAATAATAATCAGCCTGAGGCTTGGAAATAATTATTTTAATTTCACCTGACAAAATATCAGATACTCATAAAGCAGTATCTTGAACTTTGGGACTTGGTGTCTGATATGTTATAAATGGCATTAAAATATAAAAAAAACAACATGTCTGTATCGGACGAAATGACTGGGCCTGACAAGGCCTGAATTCGTGCCTCACAATGTCTGTGACAGGTGCCTAATTTCCAGGCTAGCTTATAATTTTGAAAATCAATTAACAGATTCTTTGCATAATAAAAAGAAATTTTGCTGCTAAAAGATCAAATGAGTTTTTAAGATAGAATCACTCTATATACTAATCTATGATGTATGTTACATCTGTAGCTTTCAAGGACTTTTATTTGGGTAGAAAATTGTAGTGAATTTAATTAAACATACATTATGCAAGAGCTAAATCTACCTATTACAGGTCTTTCTTTAGGCCTGAAATGTTATATAAACTATTAATTAGACATTTATTAACAAAACAAGACCATAATTGACTCTCGATGGCACCAGATACTCGAGATTTTAACTAGATTAAAATGGTTCGCCATTTAAAAATTTAATTTAAAAATGGGAAAGTGAGGCTAAGTCCCGATTATACCAGTGCCCTGGTTACCACTGTGCACACATCTTGTCAAAACTACAAACAACTTGGCTGAGAAGGAAGTAATTTGAATGAAATTTTCAATATTTTCTTTTTATATCATCTATTTTTGAATTATTATAGCAAGAATGACCAACTCTTTATTAAACTCTTAACTAATGTATCTTTAAGTTTGATTTGTTGATTTGCACTGTGAAGTAAGTATAAGTCTACTCGTACAATTTTACGTTCACAGAAAGAGCAAATATAAAGATCCAATTCATTTTGAGTTCCAGTGTCTAAAGTTTAATTTAAAAAGCCAAATAGTGAATTAAAGTCAGTAAACAAAGTATTTTTTAAAAAAAAAATACAGATTTTGTCCCATCACAAACCAAAATAACAGGTCAGATTAACTTAAAATATGTGCCTTAAATGTTTAATTCTAAAGTCATATGAGAGATTATTGTGTTTCCTGCTTATTATTATTATTTTATTTTTTTGTGCGATGTATGTGTAATATATATATATATGCAGCTAATATTATGTGATGTGTATTAAACCCCCCCTCAGGCTTTGTGTTTGGTTGTGAAATGTGGAAATGTTTTATTTTAATATTATATAATTATCCTGTCCTATTGTGAAGTCACTATTTTTCTATGCAGCTTGTGCACTAAGTTATATTGTTAGGCCTGTCTATAGCATCTGTATGCTGCTAACCTAATGCTCCTTAAAATTTTAAAGAATACATGGGTTAGAACCTAGCTTGGTAAAGAACAGGACAAATATGGCCATGGCATTCTAGGTTCATAAGTTTCCATGTGCTATATCTGTTCCAATGAGAGATGTCTTAACATTCTTGGAAAATTCACCCAAGCGTTTTAAATGATAAAATAGTTGGAAAATATATATGATCTTGTGGACTTTCTACATATACTATTCTCATTAAATGCTTTATGATGCTTACCCTAGTCTGGTATGATGTATGTAGTAGTAAGGTGTATTATATATCTTGTTTTTTTGTTTTTTTTTCATTCTATATTATTTCATCTACAATTTACATACTCATTAATAAATCCTAAACATAAAATATAATTATTATGATAGTTTTTAGCAGCGTTTGGGTTGCCTCTATGAATATAATATTGTAAATTTGTATTATAATGTTTGTACATTTATTGCTTGTAGAATATGTAAAATAAGTACACATTTATGAAGAAGTATTTAAATTATATCCTTATATATTATATTATATATATATTACAGAATTAAGCTTCAGATTTGTCAAGATTATTATTAAGCTTGTGTTCATATTGATTGGTTGTTTTATTGTCATTGTTTTAAATAGTCTTGATCATTCCAGCCTATTTTGTCCCCTCTTTGACTACAGTGAATGTAGTTTAGACAGAACAGCGCTAAATTGGTAATCATCATACATAGATTTGGTGTATGTCTGACAATTGGTTGATAGGAAATATCTTGTGTTTGATATGTGCATAATGCATTGTTTACTGGTGGATGGAGACAAAAGCTGAAATGAAAAGGGGTATAACTTCCTAGTGTTCTGCACTGACAGGGCAAATGCTGTACAGTGTGCTATGAGTGAAATTTTGCTCAGGCAGTGGCACTACGACCTACTCTTATTTTGAATTCCAACTTCGAACTCTAAAGGGTTCTGTTTTGGACATACGATTTTTCATTCTATCCGAACGACTATAGGTTGTCTCTTTCCCGGACCTCTGTCCTATCCACCTGACACAGGGTAACCACGCCAGAAAATCCTGATGAACTTTCTCGACCAACACAGGAATCAATGTCTAACTCACTGAGAGTCACTGCGGCTCCTGAGACAAGTTAGACAGTTATCATAAACACCAAGGCTGCTATTTTGTCTTGAGGATATCCGTTATGGTCACAGCAGAGACAATATAAACTGCAATGATCAAGACTATATTTTAATTTGAATATTTCCACATGTTAATCATGATTTCTATTTACTATTAAACAAATGCATTTACTACAATATCACGGTAGGTCCCATTTCCTTGTTTATTAAACATTTATCAGATATCACAAATTTAATCTCAATTCAGCCCAATGAGCATAGGCTGTTAGGAAACCATTAAAACTGCTTGAATTGTTGCAGATATTTGCTCCAAAAATACCAAGTGTATTATGAGAGCTGCAGGTCTTGAGTCCTACGCAACCCTAAGCCTATGAATGATAACTGGTTTAATCAAACTGTCAAGCAGTGAAAGTCCCCAATTGCAGTATTTATATTTCTTATAGCCCTACACAAATGGATGACTAAATTGATGCTTATCTGAATTAAAGCTGATAAACCTTGTAAATATAAGAGAAGGGTTGATATACTATACAATTAACACCATCTATGTAATAAAAAAAAAAGATGAATCATCCTACAGATCTGAGTGTACCATTATAATGTAGCAATGTACAACACAGTAAGTTATTCATCTGTTGTTCATATATCTTGTAATTAAGTTCATATTTATCAATGGATATGTTCATAATGTTCTTCCAACTAATTAGTTGAGATTTTATAGGAGTAGAGAAATTATTCAAGTGTGAAAAGAGTGTGCCCATATTACTGTAACCTGCATAGATGAATTACTTATCACAGTGGAAATTATTTCATGTAGTGAAGTAGAAAAAAAATTAATTGATCATTGTGAGGTGTCCTACTTGATTGGAAATACTATAGTTACATCAGTTTATATTAGGTCTCCAGTTTTCTATCCTGGCTCTTCTGCAATAGATACTATTGATATTACCTTTAATCTGCAGTGGCGCCAGATTTATGTATAAGGTAAAATCCTGTTTAGGTTTGCACCATTGTGAGACTTTTTTGGGCCTCTGTGCTTTGTGTGCTTTTTGTACTTCAAAGCTGAGTACTGATTTGAAACTAAAACTTGGTTTGTGGTCAACTCTGTGCTTTTTGTACTTTAATACTGATTTGAAACTATGTAGTATAAATCTCAGCTATAATCAATAGATATATTGAGGATGACTTTTGATAGAAAACTAATCAGTGTTAATAAATGTAGGGAAATGTGCAGTAATTAATTTGTTGATCTGAGTTGTATAATAAACTGATTCTAGTTGTATAAAGTTTAACATATAGTTATTATAGTATATTGGCTTGTGTAAATACTAGGTAATTTGCTTATATTCTTATAGTATACATTATAATACATGTATCATCTCTTATAAAGTTGACTTGTTAAAACCAAATGGAAATCATGACAAATCCTATTGCATGTGAAATTCCTAAATAATAAAATAAAGATATAAAAGTAACAGTTTGTTATTATTAATGGCAGAATATTCCAGACCAAAAGTTAAAAGGCAATGAAATGAAGTGGGGTTAAGTCCTGCTTTTCTTCACCGACTGTGCTAATGAAGATGGGCATATGCTATACAGTGATGCTATGAGGGAAATTTTTCCCGGACAGCAGTGCTACAGCCTACTGTTTATTTCAAATTCCAACTGCCACATGTACAGGGGACATTGTTGTTTTGTCCCATCCAAACTACTAAACACGCATTGCTAGGCCAGTAGGATGTTAAACCCCATTTCATTTCATTGCCAGGCCCTCCATCCTGCACCAGTGACAAGGTTGTCCTACAGCGGAAAAGTCAGAGAAACTTTATTGATCAACATCAGGATCAAGTCAGTTGGATATTAACTTCAGCCTCTAGAGTGTCCACAAGCAATTGTGACTGACGGGGGGCGACGAAAAAAATCAACGACGTTTACTTCTTCATTCTGATGTACATGAAATCACAATCTAGCTGCCTGCTCTTTCTCCAGCGTCTTCTGATGTTATTATGTAGCCGATATATAAATTTGTTACTGTTGATTGTCTGTTCGAGTTGGTGGCTATACTAGTGTTGCCTGGGGGGCAGAACTTTGAAGTATTTCAGCTGGAGTTGCGGAGTGACATAGGAATACCACTACCACTTTCGGTTTTGGAGTTATACTACTATTGGTTTTGTTAACCGTAATTACCACAACCAGTTTTGGTTCTGGTTAAACACTAATTACCACAACCGCTTTCGTTTTGGTTAATCGCTAATTAAACCTAACAACAACAAGCTTTATATCAAATAACAATTTTATTGGACATAACAGCACCTCATGGTTTTGTATAAATAAATAATCAAACTATCATAGAGACATAAGTTTAGTAAGGCCACATCAGTGAAAATATTTAATCAAGTTGTATTGCCATATTCAAAAATATTAATAACTTTAATTAGTATGAAAAACAATCATTTAAATATAGGTCTGATAACTGTATTTATGCTGCATTAATATTCAAAATATGACCTATAAAAAACAATAGTAGTTGCCTATTTGACATCTTCATAAAGTGAAGGCTTCACAATATACTTTAGTCAACTTGACAGTGTTAGCTGACTTTGAGGTAATCCACAATTACAAATCCAAATTGATCAATCCACCAATTACAGATTTTTTACAAAAGAGTGCATTGGTTGACCCTGTCATTATTGACTTCCTCTATTTCTAACATGGGTCTAATCAAAGTGCCAGCAAAGGACCAAGTCAGGTTGTGCTGTCAAGGTATCAGTTCTATATTTTAACACTGTAAAGTTGACGTTGTGCTGTCAAGGTATCAGTTCTATATTTTAACACTGTAAAGTTGACTATTGTTTTAAGTTTTATCTATCTATACTGTATCCTTAACAAAGGATGAAACATGACAAACTTGATAATATCCATCTTCACCTTTTCCCCCGGTCATCGAACATATTTGTAGAGATGTAATACAGTCTGAACCAAATTTAGTATCTTTATAATCTTCCCAAATTACTGGATCGATCTTTTTAATACCTGGTATGACAAAGAATAAAGTTTAACACAGTGATTAGAGACTAACATACGTTAATTTGTATTTCTATTGTTACATGTGCAATATGAAAGAGGACATTCTCCACCTATTTGTTGAACTTTCAGACAGAGAGAGAGAGAGAGAGAAATGGGGTTTAATGTCATTTCGGGACTAACATATGGTTTAATTTTATTTCAATAATTCGCTTGCGCATAAGGGTCTTTAGCAGCGGGAGGAAACCAGAGGACCCGGAGAAAACCCACGTGGTTGGACAGGCGACCCTACTCCTTGTCACATACAACCAGGGATTCAAAACCATGCCAGTTGACTTAATGACAGGTCTTTCAACAAGTTGGTTTACGTGCATACTAATCTGTATACGACCAGATCTTAGTTTTTCGTTCCATTCCGAACACTAGATGTCACCTGTGATATGTGAAAACTAGGCTTTAAAAATCAGCCTATGCCGAACTCTACCCCAAAACATTCTAGTTTAGAGTCCAATTCCCCAGAGCTCGAATTTTTACAGAAGATGTTTATCAGGCAATTCAAATTACACCCGCCAGCACCTTTGAAAAATAATCCTTTGTCTTTGTGACAACATTGTAATTAATAAACTACAAATACAAAATAATGATTTTAGTTTTACCTGACCAAATATTAGGCACTAATCAACTTGTACCTGAGAAGTTGTGCCCTGACAATGTCTGAATCTGTGCCCGACATTGTTTACAAGACAATAAAATGTGATAATGAGCAATAAGCAACAACCATGAAAACAAACAAATTAGTAGGAATAATACTGGTACCAACTTAAACAAATTCCTTAAAGATACATTATGGGGGATTAGATAAAGAGCTGGCAGTTCTCACTATATTAGTTAAAAACTAAGAGTCTGTAAAGGGAATTTGCTAAATATTTCAGTCAAATTGATCCACTATGAACCAAGATTTTAGCGATTGAATTTTCGGCCTAGGTCGGTAGGATAAAAACATAGTATTGATTATCCATTTCATGATTTAATTATGAATTGAAGTCGAACAGCAAATCGGAACCTAATCCAATAAACATCGCAGGCTAGCGATGCCATCGAGAGTTGAATATGTCACGTGTTTAATATTTTGTACCAAATGGGTCATATGACAAGTGATCAAATGTTACAACACATGAATTATTCATCAGATTAAATTAAAATTTGATGGCTGATTCTTAGTGCCAATATAAACCAAGCATGTACCAGTAATCAGATGATAACTTTAGCTGTCTGATTTATCCGAAATCGATCAGATTCTTCTTCTCATAAACAGTTAAGTCAACTGGATGATAACCTCAGCAACTAGAGCATATACAAGAATTTTATTAGTCATCAAGGGCCACAACCCTGTAAGTAATTATTGAAAATCAATAGGCTTCAAACACTGTGTACAAATCTAGACTCAGCCAGATAGTAACAAATGTGGATGATCGACAGAGAAAGGTGATAACAATATATGACCGAATTATAAAATGGCCTTTTTACAAATTTTTAAAAATTGAAATGGTGTTTAACATTCTACTGTTCTGCACCGACTGAGCTAATTAAAGACGATCATACACCACACAGCGGCACTAAGGTCTACTCTTACATTGAATTGTCAAGGGTTCTTTTACATGCATGTCAATGTGTAAACAGGGCCTCAGTTTTTCGTCCCATCTAAATGCCTATACATTGTCCCTTGCCAAGTGGGGAATCAGGGATCATGGTGGTTAAGTGGGTAAGACGCTAGCTCTCTAGTCTGGAGGTCGGGTGTTTGATCCCTGCTTTGGCCGAGAAAGTCCATTCAGATTATCCGGCGTGGTTCCCCCTTGTCAGTGATGCAGTACGGAGGGCCTGACAAGGACAACTGTCTAGTCGTTCGGATGGTACGAAAAACCGAGGTCTCGTGTACACATTGACGTGCATGTAAAAGATCCCTTGACAGTTGGAATTCGATATAAGAGTAGGCCATAGTGCCGCTGTCCGGGCAAAATTCCCCTCACAGAACACTGTATGGCGAATACCCATCTTCATTAGCCCAGTTCGAAGTAGAACAGTAGGGCGTTAAATCCCATTTCATTTTCACTTCATTTCACAAGTGGGGAATCAAAACCACGCCACCTGACCCAACGACAGACTTTATACAATCTAACGTGTTAAACCATCCCCCCCTCTCTCCTCTCCCTGAACTATTTATATAGATATACACTTACCTTGTCTGTATAATTTTGGATCTTGTGATAACTTCATGATTGTAATGTGTGGCTTAAATGTAGATCTTGTATCAGTGGTAAATATACCATAACTAGCCATTGATTCTTCAACAATTTCTAAAATATTTCATATTTTGGAGCATGAAATGTACACTATACTGTGTGTTATGAAAAAAAGGTGAGTTGATATATGCATAAAGTTCAAATCACTTTTTCGAGAACTAATGAAATACATTTTAGTAATTTAGCTGGGAAAAAAGAATACATCAGAATACTTAAATGTTTTTATCTCATATTCAAGGATAACTGTATTGTCATTTCACATATATCATATTCATTATACTTTTAAAATTTTACTATTTATAAACAAAATTATCTGCTTGTGCTATAACAGCTGCCAGGGCTGGATTTAGGGGAGGGCTGACTGGGCTGCAGCCAGTATTATAGGGGCCCCAAAAGTTATATACAGTATATAATTTATAATTTTATTTATTATGTTATATACATATTTCTGTGCCAAATAAATCTATGTACAATACTGACATACAAATTGCATTTGTGTGAGTGTGATGGACAATGACCAGAATATGTCCCCATTTTACTGTTGATACAAGGGCCCCATCGACATTTTCAGCCAGGGCCCCATGCAAGCTGAATCTGGCACTGACAGCTGGTTTTATACTGTCCTCTGGTCCACATGTGGCTGTGTAAAAAAATGAGAATATAATTTACCTGCAATCTTGTACAACATCTGATTTTCACCAATAGCAAACAAAACCTTATTATTAAAATGACCAAGACCCTGTAGAGTAAGCTCTAATGGCTGACTGAACATATTGATGATTTCTGTAGCTGCATTATTTAAAGCCAATTTGGCTCTGAAAAGGAAAAGTTGAGAACAAAACCTTCAATAAAATCAAACTAAAAATTAACATTGAGAGAGAGAGAGAGAGAGAGAGAGAGATGGGGTTTAACGTCCATCCACTTGACACAAACTAGGTCATTTTGGGACTAACATATGGTTTAATTTTATTTTAATAATTCGCTTGCGCATAGGGGTTTTTAGCAGTGTGAGGAAACCGAAGGACCCGGACAAAACCCTTGAGGTTGGACAGACGACCCTACTCCCTGTCACGTACAACCGGGGATTCGAAACCAAACGAGTTGACTCAATGACAGGCCTTATGATACAGTGCTAACCATTCGACCATCCACCCCCCCCCCCCCCCACAAAAAAAAAAAAAAATCAACATATAGTCATTCTATTAGTAATGTGATGTATATGTAGGAATTATAACATTTTATTCATTGAATGGTATAGTTTGCATTTTCAAAAACAATTCTGTGTACTTATGTTGAAAATGTGCTTATCCTGACATACAGATGGAGTTTTCCACTGGATATTTCCATGCCAAGGTGACATTGACTGGCAAAAGTATTTCATCATAGTATGATACATCATTGTAGTTCTATATAGTATGTTATACAATTGTAGATCTTTATAGCATGATACATCATTGTAGTTCTATATAGTATGTTATACAATTGTAGATCTTTATAACATGTCACATCATTGTAGTTCTATGTAGTATGTTATACAATTGTAGTTCTTTATCGTGTGTTAAACCATTGTAGTTTTATATAGTGTTTTACACCATTGTAGATTAAAATAGTATGTTACACCATTGTACAATATAGTTTTATAGTATATTATACAATTGTAGTTCTATATAGTATGTTACACCATTGTAATTCTATATAGTATTTTACACCATTGTAAATTTATATAGTATTGTTGTAGTTCTGTATAGTATGTTACACCATTGTAGTTCTTTATAGTGTGTTACACCATTGTAGTTCTATGTAGTATGTTATACAATTGTAGTTCTTTATATAGTGTGTTACACCATATTAGCTTTATATAGTTGTAGTGTGTAATATCATTGTTGGTTTATATAGTATGTTATACAATTGTAGTTCTATACAGTATGTTACACCATTTTTATGATTGTAGTTCTTTATATTGTGTTGTACCATATAAATGAAATGAAATGTGGGTCTTAACGTCCTACATAAGTAGTTCCATATATATGTAGTCTGATACACCATTGTAGTTCTTGGCATGGGCTATACTATATACCGGGTTACCTATTTAGGGTGTTTTTCGGTATTTAGTGTGGTTTCCGGTATTTAGTGTTTTTCCGGTGTTTTCCGGTATTCAGTATAACATGGTGTTTTCCGGTGTTTTCCGGTAGTTTTCCAGTGTTTTTCGGTGTTTTCCAGTATATAGTATTGTCACTTGGCAGTGCAATACACATAGGAGCTCTAGACAATGTATTACACCACTGCAGTTTAATATTATGTGTTACACCATTTTATATCAGCTATATATACAAATGAATATTCCATTCGTTATATGAAAAAATATTTATTACTAAAATAGCTGAGAATACAGGCCATCCTATTATTGAGTAGTGTTTTTCAACAAAAAAATTCAAGACTTACTGATCCATATTTTCCTCAGTAAGATGAAATACCATCAAAGTCATATGTAGTTTTTCATGTGATACGACAGCTTTTTGGTATTTTATATTACTCTCTAGCAACTTTGACTGTAAATCTTTTACTTTCTCATGAATCTACAAAGGTTATATTTTACATTTTTAAAGGAGCTAAATTGCTAATATTTGGGACCTAGAAATTGACACAAATGGGTCGCAACGCATACAATAATGTAATATGAATGTATATAAATTGATTTACAATCGTTTCTGTTTTTACTGTAATTTTTAATCAGTTAGGTTCGGCGAAATACGCCAGTATTCTCAATCGAATTTCAATCTCTAGCGTCAGGTTATTCCAGTCTACGCCGATATTATTTATTGGGCTTGCTCTCCAGATAAGAATATAGCGTCACCGTTTGACATGACTTGTACAATATGCCTAGCCTCGTTTTTTCGAGTCCCTTATTACAAATAGCGCTGAAATGCATTATGGTACACGATTCGTGTACCAATTACAAAATGTTTATTTTGTCTTAAATATTGGATATCAGAAGGACATCTTTTCCCGGTAAGATCACAACATCAATGTTGATTTAAACCGACAAATAAATCGTGTTTTCTATGTCGAAGATTTTGGATGATACTGAGTTAGAGACTTAGCTACTTTAATCTTAAAGAACCATGAGCATATATTTCCTAATTTTACTTGACTGTAGTAATACATCCCATTTTTACCACTTTAAGCGAAAATGAAGGTAAATAAACCTTTTTCTTATGGTAGGTTCCAACTGTCTTGCGATGCCTTACGATAGGATTATCCCTATCGAGTCCACGATCTGGTATGTGAAGATACTTTCGGATACGTTACGGCACAAGTGTTACAACTGACCTCAATATATAATAAGACCTGATAGGATCACCACGATTACTCCACGATTAAAACCGCGTAGCACAAGTCGTGATAGTGGGAACATAGCATAATCTAAATTTAAACATACATTATGCAAGAGCTAAATCTGTCTATTGCAGGTCTTTCTTTAGGCCTGAAATGTTATCTAAATTATTAATTAGACATTAATTAACTTATCCAGACCATAATCAACTCTAGATGGCATCGCTAGCCTGCGATCTTAAGTGGATTGTGATCAGATTTACTGCATAACTTTCCTTCTCGATTAAACGATTAAATGGATTAGTGAGAACTGCCAACTTGTTATCGAATCTCCCATAATGTATCTTTAATAAAAAAATAAGATCTTGATAATAATCTAAACAAATTAAAACAATAAACCTGACAGATTGACAGACATGGGTAGAAAATTCAGTTGTTGCATTGTCGCATTCTGGGTGGCGCACAATTCTTGTTTCGAGGGACCGAGTGAGTTCAATTCCAGAAGGTTCAATCAAGTATCACCAATCTTTTTTAACACCACACAACATGACAGATACTTGACAGAAATGACTAATGAAGACGAGCATATGCTATGTAGTGTGCCATGAAGAAGTTTTGCCTGGACAGTTGTGTTACGGCCTTCTGGTATTTCGAAGTTTAAATGCACGCCCACCCAGTTCCTTGCCAGGCCCTCAATCCTATTCCCTCACATGGGCAAACCACCACCACCACTGAGCCACCAAGACTCCCTACCTGACAGAAGAAAAAATTACACCTTTTTACACATACTTACTTCTTCATCCTTTATTTGTAAAGCTATAAAATGTGTTGGATATTTTTTCCCTTCTTTTTTTCCATCCATTTTCTTTTTTCTTTTCCTCTTTTTACCTTGATTCTTTGTTTCAGTTTTTTTAAATTCTTGATCAAATTTGTCTGAAATGTAGACTACGGTGGTAATACAAGCATGTAATATGTAAACTATTATTATGGGATGCCGACAGACTGAATCATAAAATACATCACACATGCCACAAGATGTTGTAAATAAAAAGCTTTAACCCTACCCTTTCTCAAAGTACCCTCTAAAACGTTCAAAAGGTTTTCAGCAAAGGGGAGAAAACTCTGGAACGGAATGTTGTAGATCACTGAACTTTAAGAAGCTGTGTTGAAATAGTGTAACATAGCCTGTCCACTGCACAATACCAACCACTGTTCATATTCTCAAATACACCAAATCTTTGGACATTGACTACATTAACTTCCTGATGCTGCAAGTTAATATGTCTAGGTCATATGTTATTTTATTATTTTTTTTATTTATGTTTTAAATTTCAAATCAATATTTTAATATTCATTAATGGTTGGTTAGTCATTAGAGGCAGACAGCAATTAATTTGTCAGTCAATTTAAATTATGACATGCTGACAACTAAAGTGGTTGATCTGTTAAGTTTCTTCTAACTATTGTTTTAAATGCCTTAAGTCTTAATCCTGCAATAATTATGTTTATGTCAACACTTTCTAAGTAACTAATTTGTAAAAATAGACAAATGTATGTAAGATGATTCATTAGTTGAAGAGACCAGCTTAGGGAACCTATATACTACTTGGAGGTTCGATACATAGGAAATTATAAGTTGTTAAATTGTTGCTGTTAATTATTTGCTCCTGAAATAAAGTGTTGAAGTATACTTAGAGAACACACGTTGACGAGCTACATTCCCTGAAAGTCGAACCGTGTTACTAATTTCATTTTCTCAGTATTGTTTTATCTAAAGACGCCTATATCTATTAAATGCAGGTCACTGCAGTTATGAATTTCTGATTATTATTATCATTATAATAGGGTAACTGTATTGATACTAATTTAAATTTCTTTTTCAAATTTTATTTAAAGAATGCATCCCCTCTGGATCCGCCCCTGTATAAAGTGATTGCTTTAAGTAAGAATGGTCTTGACTGTGTTATAATCTTATTTATTTTATGATCAGTAGTGGAATACCTCGTTTTATCAGTGAAATAAAAGTGTTATTCCACTGGCTAGCAATAGTCCATGTTGTTTTTACCTAAAATGATTGTAAAATCATAAAATAAATAGAACATTTGTCGTTTTGTCGTGAATAACATATTTTATTTCATCTCTAAGCTAGAAAACGTTTATATTTTCACTCATGCTACGCATTCGTGAAAATATAAGTTTTCTTGCTTTTCGATGAAATAAAATATGTTATTCACTCTAAAACGACAAATATCCTCTATATAGGCTTATAAAGAGACATCTCTATCAAGGGTTATAAAATTAACAGTTATACAGTCAGACCAGTGCCAATCAAATGTCAACTCTTACTTTATTTGCTAACCTGGAGGTCGGGTGTTCGATCTCTGCATTAGCCGAGAAAGTGCATCAAGATTTTCCGGCGTGGTTCCCCCTTGTCAGTGATGCAGGATGGAGGGCCTGACAATGACAGCTGTCTAGTCATTCGGATGAGACGAAAAATAGAGGTCCCGTGTACACATTGGCGTGCACATAAAAGATCCCTTGACAGTTGGAATTCGATATAAGAGTAGGCCGTAGTGCCGCTGTCCGGGCAAAATTTCCCTCATAGCACACTGTATGGCATATGCCCGTCTTCATTAGCCCAGTTCGGATCATAACAGTAGGACGTTAAACCCCATTTCATTTCATTTCATTGTTACTTTATTTATGGTTTAAAGTTTATTAAAGATACATTAGTTAAGAGTTTAATAAAGAGTTGGCCATTCTTGCTATAATAATAAATAAAAAAAGAAAATATTGAAAATTTCAGCCAAATTACTTCATTCTGAGCCAAATTATCACTGTTTATTGTTTTGACAAGATGTGTGCATAGTGGTAACTAGCGCACTGGTATATTCGCAACTTAGCCTCGCTTTCCCATTTTTAAATTAAATCTTTAAATGGTCAACCGTTCTAATCTAGTTAAAATCGTGAATATCCGAAGCCATCGAGAGTTGATTATGGTCTTGTTTTGTTAATAAATGTGTAATTAATAGTTTAAATAACATTTCAGGCCTAAAGAAAGACCTACAATAGGCAGATTTACCTCTTGCATAATGTATGTTTAATTAAATTCACTACAATTTTCTACCCAAATAAAAGTCCTTGAAAGCTACAGATGTATGTTTAACTGATTCTATTAACTGGCACTTTAACCAATGAAATTTATAGATTAATTTAACTTCTTCAATTTGATTCGTTACAATATTTATTATCTCTAATTTTATATTTAATCTGATTTGTTGAAATGATTGCCCTTTCATCTCTATGTTAATTATTTTCTCAAAATTAGACAACAACAAACACATGTGAGAATCGGATGAGAGATGAGATGAGATTGGGTTAAGACCTTTATATTAACCTGTTGATATGATTTGAATTTTACCGTAATGTATGTTCAACTGTATATATGGAAACAGATTTGGATTTTTATATTTGAATTGCAACAAATACCTTCTCTAATGAGCTACCCCCACCCCCATTCATAGCTCATCTATATTTATCACCTGGGTGCTTATTCGAACGAAGAATAACCTTGAAACAGGTTGGTGATAGTAGGCTGACACGTAGGCGTATGTGACCTGTAAGGGTGGCACAATGCCCGCCTCCAAACACAGGCAATTAGTTGTGTTAAGTGAAAAAACGGTAAAGGTTTATGGCATATTAACTAGTTAATCAAGGTAGATGTTTGGCAGTATAACACCATAAATACGTTGATCACTTAATTACCTAATCAATCCAGCGTATTATCAACGATGATCGGGTTGAGTGGTAGTTATACACTCAGTAAACTATATTAATTTTAGAATTTTGAATATTATTCACCATGTCTTGATGTCCAATTGGGCATATTCCTGATCGGACAATTTTGGGCATTTGGAAAATAACGTCGGACAAGGGGCGAAATCCCATTCCTGCTTTCACATATCCCCTGATTTGTTGCTAATAAAAAGTATAGTATTTGACTGTTACACAGAAATACAGTATTGCTATTGCTCTCTCCTCAGAAGTAACGCTACTTTAAAGGCATGCGGTTGGCCAATTGATCACCGGTGTGCACCAGGTGCGTGTCCTGATAACAATTGCATCAGAATTTCCCTCACTGCCCAATTACTAGTACTACACCGTTATTAGTAGTGGCCCAAAATCGAAAAGCAGCACTACCTTAACTTGTTGAACAAAGGATATGGGTTTGAATCATGCTCACTGGTACATTTTTGAAAAGGAGACACAGTGACTCAATGTTGGCCGAGAAGTTCATCAGTATTTTCCGGCATGGTTCCACACTGTGTCCGTAGTGCAGGACTGAGGGCGCATAGTCGTTTGAATGGGGCGAAAAACCTATGACAGTTGGAATTCAGCATAAGAGTAGGCTGTAGTGTTGCTCTCCGGGCAATATTTCCCTCATAGCACACTTTATGGTGTATGCCCATCTTCATTAGCAAGTCAGTGCAGAACAGTAGGACAGTAAACCCCATTTCATTTCATTTTGTTATTAAAACAAACATAGTGCAACATACACACAGGTCAACCACCCTCTAACCCCTGTGCATAAAACCTGTGTTTTAACCCAATCTGATTAAAATACAGATCTATATTTCGTTTCGGTTTATTATACATTCGATGGCCTACACTACATGTGTACGTGCTAGTTCTATTCAGATGGCGTACGTGTTCATCATTGACTGGACTGCTTTCTTTCCGCTTCCATATTATTAAAAATATTCAAAACCCGACAGACGGCGCGACGCTTCCCGACAAACTGAGCATTCATTCCCGACAAGACCATAGCCTTCCCCGACAAGGCCATACCCCTACCCCATTTTCAAAAACTCCTCGGCTAATGACCGATCTCACAATTCTGAGCTCTTTTCAGATTTCTATTTTTTTTCAAGAAAATATTGGGGGGGGGGGGGGCGGTGCCCTCCCGGTCACCCCGCCTCGTACGCCTATGGATCCTAGTGTAGTAAAGTCAAGTAAAACGAAATTTTGAACTATAGAAACGAAACGAAATAGGATCTGTGTTTTAATCAGATTGTGTTTTAACCAGTATACCTGAATATAAAACAGAAATATCTATAACATCTTCATCAGCAGGTGTTTCCATTTTAGACGAAGTTGCTGTTACACATAACGGATCCTTCTCATGTATTGTTATTTGAGTGCTATCTTTCATCTGTTCTTCAGAACTTTCTTTCAACTTTGTCAAAAACGAGCTGGGGCAAATAGCACCATCATGTAATAAATCTTTATGTATTAAAGGATAATTCTGTTGAAAAAAGTTTGTAACTTGATATAACAAACTTTTCGGTGAAATTCTTTCATCTGAACATGTAAGGTCAGTGACTTCTGACGGTTCTGATAATTCTGAAGATCTAGTTTCGTTTTCTGCTTCGGTATAATCAATATCCACTAGATCAGCTACTATCCGATCTTTAGAAACTGATGATAAGTTCTCATCAATATTCATTTGTTCATCATCCCTTTCACAACTCAATGAATCAATTTCACAATAACTTGCCATGATTACCTTCAGAAATTGGATAGGTGTATCCACATATATTCTGTCACACAAACATTTATTTTCAGTATACAAGAAGGAATTCAAAAACTTAAGGTTATTGTTTTTAACACACGAAACCCTTATTAACTGATAGGGTTTTTTATTACCGAGAAATAGTCCTAGATTCATCGGACCTCTTGAATATGAATACATAAAATGAGTTATGTAATATTTTAGTTGTGGTTTGAATATCAAGTTTTTAGCCCTGTAAGCAGACATAAATGTGTTGTGTGAAATCAAAGTAAACTACTTGTTTCTTTTATGATCTCTTATTTAGTGGGTCTACCCACTAGTTTATCTATAAAAGTTGTATTTTGTATGGGCCATTTTCTATTTTTCCTTGGTTTCAAAATAGATTCTTATAATCTCGTTCATGACTAATTAATCCTTCGGCTGGAACAACAAAATCAAATGCTGTTAGTGTTGGTTTCACCAAATATTAAAGTAAAAGAAACAAGTATGGGAAGTCCAATTTGGATGTGTTATGCTGTCTGATGATTCTTTAGATAATCCTTTCAGATCGTGCATTATACGAACTACGAAGTAGAGCTATGATGCTAGTTCAACAGTAAAAACAAAAAAAAAAACGCCGTCGCCATACTTTGAATCCACAGGTGTTCAATTAATGATACTGAGTGATAACTTTTCAGTAGGCCTGATTGATTTTGAATGTGTATTGTTATGCTGTCACATTATGGTTATATAGATATGACAGTAGGCCTACTTCGTACTGTCAATAATCTGCATAATACTTGTATTTTAAGGTAAGACACGGCAGGAAAAAGTCTAAAAATATATCAATTTTATGAGTTTTGACATTTTGTCATTTTCGGCAACTTTATTATGTCATAATCAAAAATTACATTGACAAAATAAAAATAAATACCTAATTTCATATTTTAAATATGTGTACGTCAATTAATGGAGCTAAATCGCTAACATTTGGGACCTAGAAATTCACAAAAGTGGGTCGCAACGCATATAATACTGTAATATGAATGTATATAAACTGATTTACATTTATTTAATGGTTTCCGTTTTTACTCCAATTTCAAATCAGTTATGTTCGGCGAAATAAGTCAGCAATCTCAATCGAGTGCAAATTTCTAGCGTCTAGTTATTCTAGCCTACATAACTCCATTTGATGTGGTGCAATGTGTCTAGCCTCGTCCCTCAATACAACTGGGGCTGAAGCGCATTATGGTACACGATTCGTGTACCAATGTTAATAAAATTATTTTATCTTAAATATCGGATATCAGAAGCTCATCTTTTCCCGGTAAGTTTACATCATCAATGTTGATTTAAATTGACCAATAATTCGTGTTTTCGATGTCGAAGATTTTTGAGGATTTTGAGTTACGGACTTAGGTCCTTTAAAATCGGCTTCCGTGCCGTTGACTCGAGAGTTCTGGTCGCCATGTTTCACATATCGATGGAAAGAGGAAGTTACGCTACGCATTATGGTCTAAAGATATTCTATTTATAACCGTTACATATTTGGCAATTGTCGGTTACATCCGTTAAACAAATGTCACGGAAATTTCCTTTTATGGAATTTTGAATACATAATAAGGGTCAATCGGTCATGACCTACTACGGCGCATGCGCAGTTACTTACTTTCCCACGGAACCTAGTTACGGCGATGCGCGATCATACACGACTTCCCAGCTACCTATGACTACTTATAAATGACAATCGCGGCTACAATTACTATTTACTCCTTGTAGTAAATTTTACGTGTGTTTTACCGGGCTTTTTTTTTAAGAAACAAATTACTTAATTTCGATTAATTAACTTTTGACATTATGGCTGCCAGTAAAAGTTCCACTAAGAAAAAATATAGAGGCTCTAAAAGACGTACTTTGAAAAAGAATATAGTGAAATGTAGATCTAAAAATACTGTAAATAAAACCCCAGTGCCAATGAATAGACATAGATGTAGGCCTAGCAGACGAATTTTCTATAGCAGACGATTTTTCTATCCCTTCAAGTTCATGTTCCATAGATAATAATATACGTGGATCAACTGAAAAAAAATGAATCTACCTCACAAACCATTAATAATGAAAATGACACAACTGCAGGACATGAGGAATTTGTTTCTGACTCTGACCCTTCATCAATTATTAAAAGACAACAATATAAATAATAAAGAAACTGAAGATATTGAAAATGACAATAATAATAGTATTAATACGAGTGGTTTTAAAATGATGCATACTGACATTTTACAGTCCCTCATATCTGAATTTTTGTGTCCGGAATGCCACACTAAGGGTGTTTGTCCCTCTGTCAATGCTACGAAGGGTTACGCTACCAAGATTCTTTTAAAATGCCCAAATTGCCCGTATGTAAATAACTTTTGGTCTAGTCCAAAATTGAAGAAAATCCAGTTCACGATAAAAATGCATTTATTGTTAACCACCAAGTTGTTTTTGGTTCTAAAGACATTGGTATTGGTTGTACCTCACTAAATAAATTCACATCCGATTGTGGTGTTTTAGGTGCATTGCATCATAAAACATATAATAAAATTTCAACAACATTGCATGATAAACTGTCAAACAATAATATTTTAAGTGATGCACATGAGATAATTAATAAATGTGAAAGCCAATTCCATGATGATACTAGTGATCCTAAAGACATACTCGTAAGTTACGACGGTTCTTGGCACACCCGTGGGCATACGTCATTACATTGCATAGGTTTTATCATACAGCTCGACACTGGACTAATAATTGACTATGAAATTTTGAGCAAATATTGCCATGCGTGTGAAGTATATGGCAATAAACTTTCGGATGATGAAAAGGCCAAATGGCTGACAGATCACAAATGTGAAAAAAATTTTGATGGATCATCTGGCTCCATGGAAACTGCCATTGCAAAAATATTGTGGGCACGCTCTCAAGATTTAGGTTTCAGATACACTACAGTTTTAAGTGACGGAGATGCTAAAACAGTCGACGCATTAAACGAATTGTGTCCTTACGGAGAGACTACCCCTATTATTAAAGAGGAGTGTATCAATCATGTGTCAAAACGGATGTACAAAGGCCTTGAGCTGATCAGTAAAAATGCGATGGCAGCAGCCAGGGCTGAAGGGAAATCTAGAAACCCTGTCAGTGGCCAAGGTAAAATGACGAAAGCTCGAATGAAGAGTTGGTCATCATACTATCGGAAGGCGATAATTGAAAATTCGGAATCAGTTTCTGACGTGAAAAGTGCTATCTGGGCTATATTTTTTCATAGCATGTCTGACAACAAAAATCCGCATCATGATAGATGTTCTATGGCTTGGTGCTATTACAAACAAGCTACAGAACAGGGTATAGATCCAGAAGAGTTTCGTGCTCGAAAAAAACATGACACCCCACTAACAAAAGAGGTCGCCCACTACTTCATTGACTTATTTAAACATTTAACAAATGAAGAACTACTAAAAAAGTGTCAAAAGAAATTAACACAAAATGCTAATGAAGGGTTGCATTCCCTTGTTTGGAAGTATATTAGTAAAACTGTGTTTGTTTCCCTAAAAACTATTGAGACTGGTGTCATAATAGCCGTTGCCAACTGGAATCAGGGACGGGTTTCAGTTTGCGAAATGTTAACTATGACAGGTATTCAGCCAAATAATCAATTGTTACAAAGCTGTAAAAAATCAGATAAATTACGCTGCAAAAAATCAGACAAAGCTTCAGAAATTTTAATCAAGCGAGACAGAAAGTCTAAGTCAATCTCAAAGATCGCTGATGAGGAGGCCTGTGTTGTTCGAGAGGGTGGGCCAATGTATGGTGCAGGCATAGAGACAACATCAACCCTATAATATCAAACCAAAGCCTACAATCATTACTATTAACTTACTATATAATCCTGTAAGTGTTTAACACTATCTTAGCCTTTTCTCAACCGATTACATGTGTATATGTTGTTTTTATTTGAAGATCGCGTCAAATCAGCATTTTCTCAAAACGCATATTTTGCAACTTAGGAAAGCCATACAATAAAAACTATTATACCTAGAACAATGAAATTTGGCATGATATTAGCCCTATACTTACTGTACAAGAATATCTATAAATCATTCATGTATGTTATATACATAATTTGCTGTCTGTCTTTGGAAAATGGAAAAAAGTTAAAATTTTGCAGTGATGAAGTTAACTAACATTGATTTTCTAAAATGAAGGCCATCATTAACTTTATATAGATAATCCTGTACAATGGTTCATTTGGACTTCAGAAATACGTTGTTCTATGGTATATATTATATTTCCTGGGAAAACTACTTTCCCTAAAAAATGTATAATTTTCAACCGTTTTCCTCCAATAAAATGTTCACAACTTTGTACCTAATATACCTAGTCATTTGATTTTTTGCACATAAACTCATAATAATCATATCCAAACACCTGCCAAATTTCAATGAAATCCATACAGTAGTTCTTATAGTGTTTTTAGATAATCATGTCTTAAAACTTTTAGATTTAGTTATTTCCCCTTATTTTGAAGAATTTTCTTCCAGTACCCATTTCTTTATGAAATCGAACGAAATGAAGTAGGATTTATGTCCTACGGCCCGAACCTCCGACTGGGCTACTGACGACGGGCATACGTCATGCACCCTACTCTTATGTCAAATTCCAACTGCCAAGGGATCTTTTACGTGCACGCCAATGTGCACGTCCCATCCGAACGACTATACGGTCAGTTGTCAGACCCTCTGCAGTCTGTCCTGCACCCCTGACACGGAGGAACCACGCCAGAAAATTCAGATGAACTTTCTCGGCCAACGCAGGGATTGAACACGAGTCAACGTCGTCTTCGTCTTTACCTTGAAAAACCCATAGTAAAAAGACACGTAGGGCTACCGTACCCTGAAGAAAGAACATTGTTATTGATAATTGAGTATGTGGGGCCCCAACCTAACACAGAGACCAGAACATAGCAGTATTGTTCCACACATAGGCCTATGAATGTCAAACCCAATTTAAAGTCGATCAGTGATAACGGGGAGACCTTGATACGGAGAGTCATATCAGCAGAGACCGTAACGTTTCGACAGAGCCGGGTCGATTTTTGACGAACGTCGAACATTGTAAGAATCATACTATTTCATGTGATCATAATAATACGAGTCCAGAAATCAACGTTCCTTCTCGATTCACTGACAACAAAAAGAAAAAAAAGTACTTCGGAGATTAGCCTACCAAGGACATTTTTCACAAATTAGGCCTATGTGTTCAAAACTCGAATATTAATAGGTTCAAACTCAAAGTTAGTCTACCTTGATTTCACCTCCTAGTAGGACAAGTCGTAACCAAAATAATCCGCTAAAAAGATTCGAATGCGTTTTCTTGATACACTTTTCCCGCTAAATAAATATGAAAGAAGAAAAAAAAAGACACAGATACCTGAAAGTCCAATGGAGGGCTCGGGCCTCGTAGGGCCCAATCACTACTACTGGCAGATGGATTCTCTATCCGACCATGCTCACGTCGCTTTTCGCGCAACTGAGATTCTATGTGGGGGGGGGGGGGGGCACCGTGCCCCGAGGGTAATCCGGCGCTGCTCGGGGTGGTTTCTCCTTGTCAGTGGTGTAGGACACAGGGACTGACAACGAGTGTCTAGTTGTTCGGATGGGCCGAAAAACCGAGGTCCCGTGTACACATTGGCGTGTTGGAATTCGATATAAGAGTTGACCCTAACACCGGTGTCCGCACAGAGTAAAAATACACTGTATTTTTTACTCTGTGGTGTCCGCACAGAATTATCCTCATGGCACACTGCATGGCTCCATTAGCCCAGTCGGTGCTGAAATGTAGAACGTTAAACCCCATTTAATGCCGCCATTTCTGGACGTCTAAAAGATAACCCATTTCTCTCCATGAACATCGAGCTCAAAATGATATCCTTGTTTTTGTTTTTATAACTCGAAACTTACATAGATTTATCTCATTAAAAATGTCTAGGGGGTCTGGATGGTCGTTGTTTCGTTAGGTCTGTCATTGGGTCAACTGACGTGGTTTCGATTCACCGGTTGTACGTGACAAGGAATAGTGTCGCCTGTCCACCTGGTGGGTTTTCTCCTGGTCCTCCTACTGCCGAAGACCCCTACGCGCAAGCGAATTATTGAAATAGACGTGAACCATATGTTAGTCCCGAAATGACCTAGTCTGTGTCGAGTGGATGTTAAACCCAATTTCTCTCTCTCCCTCAAAAATGTCTGCTGTTATTGATGAAGTTATATCATCCTCTTTTTTAAAATAAAAATCCACAAAAACGAAGCGTTGCCTGTTATTCATTTTTTGTTTTCAATCTCGTATTAGAATCAATTTATATTTCAATACATTATGCTCTAAATGTATCTCTGAGCTGTGGGTCTTTATTGACGCACATTTAAACTTTTAAATTCTGAGCGACGATATGATTGCTTGAAGAATGGCATAGTCTCGGTTTTCATTGCTACCGTTGTTACGATAATAAACAAAGTCTCGATTATCCATTTTTAAATTAAATTATTAAATGGCGATTGTGTTTCAATCTATCAAAATTACAACCGTCCGATGGTCTAGAGCGTTGATTATAGGCTTGTCATGTGAATATATATCTCTTAATAATTTATATAACATTTGAGCCAAAATAAATCTCTAATTTTGACACCCCTCGAGGCATTATTAATGTTAGTAATAATTTCCTATCAAAACTTACATAGATGTATCTGAAATTTTGTTAAGATTACCGGCAAATGAATAACCATATCTGATGATCGACAAAATATTTCCCTTCATTTTGAAAACATTGATAACTTCCAACTCTACCTTCAGAAATTGCGATAGTAAGGAAGTCAATACATTATATTTTTGTGAATTTTCTGAATGTAATTATTTTAAAGAGTTAAAACTGGACATTTTAACTTTGAGCTGGACTTTATTAACGGTGTCAAGTCTGCGCCACACAAAATGGCAATCACCCGAGAAACTATGCCTGACAAAACCTTAATATGATATGTGCGTCAGGGGCGTTATTTCCAGAATTGTAAATGTGGTAATTAGTAGCAACTCTTTTGGGAAGAAGCTGCAAGGGTTGGATAGATTCTTGGATCGATATCCGATAGGAGTCAACAGGTATATTAAGTAATAAAATATTATGTAATTGACCCAAATAGTGCTACTTTAAACTATATGCAACTAAATCTGCCCAAACTTGACTTTTAAGTTTTAACGATTTCAGTTAATTACTCTTAACAACAACACCACAGTAGGCCGTTTGTCAAAAAAGAACTTGCTATTAATTTAACCGACCAATACACTGTGGGCCTGCGTAGTATTTCTACTAGTACATATTATCACCACGCCTGCTTAACACAGCAAGCGTTTGTCGCAGTGGAGCGCGTCGAATGGTAGCTGTATTTGTTTGAACCTTAATGTAACTGATCTTCGTTTGGATCACAACATAGGAATAATGTGGAAGGAAGTATTATTAATTTGTGGTAAGTGATCTAAAATATTGTAACAATTCAATTATTTACCGAGATTAAGGATTATTCTACCTGGCGACAGGTAAGAGTTCAAGGTCATGTTAAATATGTAATTATTGTTTTCATATCTCTCTATATACGCATTTTGCAATATTACAAAAATAGTGACGCTATTCACAGAACATTTAAAATCATATAGTCATATTATTTTATGTTCATTGGGTAGTCAATGGGTGTTATTATATAGTGTAGATTTGGGTCTAGAGGCCTATGATGTACCTGTACGTCAAATGTATGTCAAATATGTATAAGCCAAAGCACAGACTGATAATAGACAAATAAAAATGGCGTGTTTTCATTAACGGTGTGTGTATTAGTCACCTGCAAGTTGTCGTCTTTTAATCTTACAATATATAGGTGTGAAAGGGTGGAATAACGTACAATATTATTATATATATATGGTGATATAGATAATTGAAAATATAAATAGATATAAAAACCAGTGCGATTTATAATAAAAAGTGGATTGTAACACTATCATAGGTCTAAATATTAGTCACACAAAAGTCAGTAAGAGTAATGCAATATTCAAGTGCTTATAAACATTGGTATTCGCCATATTCATAATGTGCGTTACTGAACTCTTATTTTTTATGTGTCTGTCCTAATGACTCTACGACTAGAGTAGATTTATATTTTTTCTTTAATCCGATAGACTGCTATTGTTGATCTGCGAACCATCATAACGATAGTTTTGGGACTTTGTCACTTTACTGGTCAGTGTATCGGATTATTTGTACGAGAAAGCGTCAGGTAAACTTGACCTGAATAACTTACCTGAGTCAACAAATAAAAGCCGATTGAGCGGGAAAAGATAATACTGACATTTTGTAGACAAATCTAGGTGGCATTGCTGCCTATACGGTGTACGTGACACGCGGTTTAACGACTGTACTCGACACAAAGTAGGTCATTTTGAGACTAACATGCGGAACGGTTTTATTTAATTAATTTACTTGCGAGTGGGGGTCTTTAGCAGGTGGTGGAAACTGGTTGACCCGGAGAAAAACCACGAGTTTGAGTAGGCGATCGTACTCAAGTACACTTTTGGAATTGAAACAACATAACTTGACTCAGTGACGAGTTAGCCTACTTGACTACCCTATACCATGTCGGTTTGGGAAGTCGGAAACTACCACAATTTAATGGGGGCGGGGGAAGGGGTCTTTTATAAAAGAGGATTGAAATGAAATCGACTTTATTTTTCTGCACTTACCGGACTAATGAAAACGGGCATATGATGTATAGTATGCTAAGAGGGTGTTGTGGGGCTTTCCAAACGACTAGACGTTTTCCTGCTATGCCCGATGTCCTGCACCACTAACAAAGGGCAACCCAGAACTTTCTCGACCCGGAATCAACTCGTTTATGAGATGGCGCCTACTCACCGAACCTATATACGTGGGCCAAGATGCTAACTGTTAAAAAAAGTTCGTACCCATGACGAAGTCGTACACACACTATGAAACGAACAGAACAGAACAGAACAGAACTTTATTCACAACTCAGATCAAATACATGACATATGAGTGATAGGTTATTTACATATTTACAAGATGGTGGCTTTTAATTTCTTAGTCAATGGACATAAATTGGTTAAGTATTATCTTTAAAAACATACATAATTTTATAATTATTGATTGTTTGCTTGAATTCAAAAGTTTATTATATTTAAAAGTATTAGGTCTTGTATAATAATATCTGGATATATATTTTTCTCGTTCTTTAATAAAATAAGTACAATTGAATAGGTAGTGATATTCATCGCCGATTGTATTTGCTTCACATAAAGGACAAATTCTCTGTTCAAAATCTACATTCATCCATCTCCCGACCTCAACAGGGAGTCTATGGTTACATGTTCTATATCTTATAAAAGTATATTTATAATTATTCGGCAGTGAGATAAGATACGGTTCTAATTTAAATTCGGTCTTATAGATTCTATAGTTAACAGATTTATTCGATTTCTGGATATTTGACGACCAGGTTTGAATATACTGATCTTTTCGTCGTTGTAACAATTCATATTTCAGTTTAACTGGATTTCGGGCCTGTTGTGAGTTCCATACATAACTATATCCACATTCGTCAAGGGTATGTTTGATAGTCATTAGCCATTTATTAGTATGATTTACATCATTTTTTAATAGAGACTTATATAATAACAAAGAATATTTGCCAGTTTTACCACTTATCATTTTAATCCAAAAGCTAACCATTCTATGCTTAATATAAATATTTAAAGGGTATCTCCCAGTTTCACCATATAACATATACAGAGGGGTACTTTTTTTTTACTTTCAATATATTTCTTAAAAACTGGTTATGGATAGTTTCTATGGGGGATAATTCCCCAAATCCCCATATTTCACAACCGTACAGTACAATCGGCAATATAGTATGATCAAAAAGTTTAAGTTGACAGTCAATTGGCAGATTGAGATTATGGATCCTCGAATACAAGAGGTATAGAGCTTTAGAAGCCTGGTTTTTAATTCTTTGTTGCGCTTGCGCGAAGCTACATCCTTTAGAGAATACAACGCCCAGATAATTATATGAATCACATATTTCTAAATCATGATTCAGTAACGAGAAAGTTGCATTAGACTGGCCTCTTGATCCAAAAATCACAACCTTGGTTTTATTTATGTTTACATTTAGTTTCCATAGAGTACAGTATTCACCAAATATATTTAGCAATTTGTTCATATCATTTACATTGTCAGCAAATAATACAGTATCATCAGCATATAGAAGTACAAATATTTTTAGATAGTTTAAAAGTTCATTTTCATAGTATTCTGTTTGGACGCCTTTACAGTCATGTTTTAGTAAAAATGATTCGAGATCATTTAAATACAGTGCAAATAAAAGTGGGGATAGATTTTCACCCTGTCGAACTCCTGTCTTACAGGGAAAGGCTTCAGATATTTTGTTTTTATATTTCACAGAAGACTTTATGTCTTGATACATGTTGTAAATAACATTAAAACATTTACCAGTAATACCAGAATTCAGAACTTTATACCAGAGACCTATTCTCCATACCTGATCAAAAGCTTTACTAAAATCTATAAATGTACAAAAAAGTTTCTTTTTCTGAGACCTTAAATAAGATATAATTGCATACAATGCAAATAAGTGATCTGTCACGGAGTAGTCTTTTCTAAACCCAGCCTGTGTTTCGTTAAGTATATTATGTCCGTCTACAAAATTATTTAATCTATTATTTATAATGGAAGTAAAAAGTTTTCCAAGACAGCTGAGGATCGTTATGGGTCTATAGTTTTCGGGTAAGCCGGGGTCACCTTTCTTTTTATATATAGGCACAATGCTCCCAATAGTCCAAAAAGCTGGTACAATCCCAGAGTTAAAAATATGGTTAAAAAGTATGCAATAAATGGGTATAAATATATCAATTGTGGACTTAATATATTCATTTATTACCATATCGGTTCCAGCTGCCTTGTTATTTTTTAAACATTTAACAGAATAGAGTATCTCCTCTCTGGAAATTTCTTTATCTAAGGTAGCATTTTTGCTGTTTATAATATGTTCGTCATCGTTTTCGATGTCAGTGTTATCATTTATATTCTTGAAGTAATCATAAAAAATCTCTATATTGATGTCGGACTTTGTATCGTCATGTTGCTTATTAAGGTTATTTATCATTTTCCAAAAGTCCTTTGGGTTTCTACTCTGCATACTTCTCAACTTACACTGAATCTGACGTGCATTTTGTTTCATATATTTATTCATAGTTACTTTGTAAATTTTGCTCGATTCGACCATATATAATTTATTTCTATTATTTCTATGTTGTTGATATTTCTTTCTGGCAACATTGTATTTAGTCCTGGCTATGTTACATTCTTTACCAAACCATTGTTTATTAGCATTTCGGTTGCCTGTAAATTTAACAGTTGGAAAGGTTTTGTCGGCGCTTTTTAAGTATATTTTACATAAGTCGATACTTATACTATTTACATCATCATGTGTAATATTATCTAAATGTATATTACTTATACTTTTGAACAATTTATCAACAGCTTCTAAATCAATATTATCAACATATAAATCTCCCCTTTTATCTTTCCATTTACATTTCTTCACCAATCTATTGTGTGGCCTCTCATTAGTTTGATCATTTGTTAAACGGCGTACCCGAAAACGTAATGGACAGTGAACATCAGAGAGTAAGGGACAGAACTCCCCGACAACAAAATCCTCAAGTATGGGGAAAATAGGTGATGTAACAATAAGATAATCAACAACAGATTTATCTTTGCATGTGAGTCGACCCTTTAACTTATCACTGCCAACCCTGCCGTTTACAATGAACAGATTATGGTTCCGACACAGATCAAGTAATTTCTGGCCATGTCTATTTACATATTTAACATCTTGGTTATATCTTTCTAAGCTAATCCCGTAGTCGTTCAGTACGTCGGATTTTTCTAGATACTCTCTTACATAATTATCGAATTCAAAGAAATCAGATAGGCTATCATCAAATCTAACATAGTCCGGTTTTATGTTCGTTCTTCCATTAAAATCACCTACAATACAAACATTATCATATTTAGAACAGATATCACTTACTTCGTTTAGATATACAGAGTACAGGTCTTCATCGAAATACTTGGAATCGTCTGGTGGTATATAGACTATCCCTAGAATTGTGTCATTTTCTGTATTCAATAATCGTTTGTCAATACAAAGCCAAAGAATATATTCCGAGTTACTGACTTTTTCAGTTATATATTTAGTAAATTTATTTCGAATAAAACAACATATACCACCAGAGGATCTCCGGTATTTCTGTTTCCTATCTTTTCTTAATATTTTAAAACCTGGAAAATTAATAATGTCTATTGGTTCCAGTTTTGTTTCCGCTAGACAAATCAAATCATTTTTGTTTACAAAAGAGCAAAATTCTGGGTAATGTAATTTCTTTTTAACACCACAAACATTTATAAATGTACAGTTAAGTAACTTGTCACTCGGGGAATGGTTATACGTTATTTCCTTTTGGCTTCATTGACTCGTTTGTGTTTCCATAACTTCGGGCGGAAAAACGCGTTGCTTGTCAATATAAAGCTTGTCGTAGTATAGTTTGGCATCTCTTTTTTCAACTCTAGCTTTCTTGTATATAGGGTAGAGGGCTTTTCTAAGGATAGCGATTTCAGCGGGATATTGTTCGCCGATACCATAATGAGTATCTTTTAGGTTAGCAGGGGCTGCTGCACGTACGATCTCCCTTTCTTTGTAGAATGTGAATTTCGCTACGATTGAACGGTTTTTGCCCCTTATTCTTGTTCCCAGTCGGTGACACCTCTCTATCGAGATTCTATCATCAATGTTATATATCCTCTTCAAAAAAAAAGTAGGGGATATTCTGAAACAATACAAAACTGCGGAAATGCACTGCTGTTTTTATTAGAAGTAACCAGTGTATGTTATTAACATGCCAATTGCCTACACATGAACATAAACAGTTCATATGGGCGGCTTATCTAACGGCCCAATTTCACTCGCAAAGAGATTCACCGTCAAAAGTGAAAATGGACGTTTTTGATTTTTGTCTTAATAATGGGTAATTGCTCCACCAATCCTCAGACATTCAGCAATTCGTCGTGGCATGCTCCTAATCAACCGTCCAATCACGATTTGGGGCAATCTGACCCACTCCTCTTGCAGTGCCACGGCTAATTCTTGCAGTGTTGTCGGTTGACGTTGATGTCGACGAACACGTCTGCCGTTTAAATTAAACGTAACACACTAAAGCAAAGATACGCTAAACAGTAAATCATATGCAAGAACCGATAGGAAAGCAAACATGGATAGATAAACCAGCACGCGACAGTTTTTATAAACCCTTCGTTGAAGTGTCCAATTTGACAATGAGCCCCTTCCACGTGTATGGCGCTATTGCGTTTCGCATGTGCAGCTCAGTGATTCCGTTGGGGCGATAAGTTCTTCATCTGTGAACATACTCTCAAAGCATATCAAATGTCCATGACTATTCATCATATCGCAACCTGCATAGGTATATGCATTCCAATATCCCCTACTTTTTTTTGAAGAGTATATCGATGGCTGAGTATGCAAATGTTACATGTCCAGTTTTGGTCAAAATGATGTTTTGACCTTTTTGAATTGCATAAACATGCGTCCTTCTACTGTGTAAATACTGTTAGTCCAGATTAATTAGAGTATCAAGTTATTGCCATGAAAACATACAGCACATGTCCCCATTCAGCAAAACTTTATTATGCAAAAGTGATATTTGTGGGCATGTAACTTTTGTCTACTGAAAGCTCATAACACTAAACAGGAACCAGTGGACATATCTACGAAAGCCCAGGAGGCTCATTCCAAATTCCAAATGCGAAATTCCAAATTCATGTCTTACCGATAAAATAGCAAATTGGCAGCCCCCCTCAATTGAACAAATTAGAATTTATATAAATTGTAATTTTACACAACTAATTACTTCTAGTTTACCTATCCGGGCCGGATAAATACCCGTTCCAAATTACTAGATTCCAAATTCCAAATTCCAGATTCCAGATTCCAAATTCCAGACTCAAATTCCAAATGCGAAATTTCGAATTCCAAATGCGAAATTCCAAATTCATGTCTTACCGATAAAATAGCAAATTGGCAGCCCCCTCAATTAAACAATTTAGAATTTATATAAATTGTAATTTTACACAACTAATTACTTCTAGTTTACCTATCTGGGCCGGATAAATACCCGTTCCAAATTACTAGATTCCAAATTCCAAATGCGAAATTCCAAATTCCAAATTCCAAATCTGATCCGATTTTTGCTTTTGACTAATCAGTTAGAGTATAATAACAATATTCCAGTTCGGGTTTGCTTCGGCAGATGTGAACAGTTTGGGTTCCTTTGCAGTGAGCTACTCTGCTACTCGGTATCCTAGGACTGGCTTTTTTTTTTTTGCTACAGCAGCAAATTTGGAATCTGGAATCTGGAATTTGGAATGAGCCTTCTGGGCTTTCGTACATATCGCCTACAAAACACGCTGTCAGGGGTCTAAACATTAAAGTTTGTGTAAATGTATTTTTATACGCCCACATAGAAATGTGGACTTATATTTCCGTCGCCTCCGTCCGTCGGTCCGTCCGTCCATCGTCCACAATTTCTTGTGAGCGCTCTAACGCCAAAAGTTATCATCCAATTATTTTAAAATTGATATAAGTTGTTTACATTAGTTAGATGAAGAAACCTATTTAATTTCAATAATTTCCGTTTATAACGTCTAGAGTTATGGCCCTTGTTTCAGTTTGTTGAACCTTGTGAACGCTCTAATGCCAAAAGTTAACATCCGATCTTTGTGAAATTTATATGCAATATTTACATTAGGGAAACGAAGAAGCCTATTGAATTTCAGCATTTTCCATTTATTACTTCTACTTTACTTTGTTTAACCTTGTGAACGCTTTAACCCCAAAAGTTATCATCCTATCTTTCTGAAATTTATATGCATTATTTAAATTAGTAAAACAAAGAAGCCTATTGAATTTCAGCAATTTTTGTGTGTTACTTCTAGAGTTATAGCCCTTGTTTCACTTTATTGAACCATGCAAACGCTCTAATGCCAAAAGTTAACATCCGATCTTTGTGAAATTTATATGCAATATTTAAATTAGGGAAACAGAGACGTTTATTGAATTTCAGCAATTTCTGTTTATTACTTCTAGAGTTATGGCCCTCGTTTCACTTTGTTTAACCTTGTGAACGCTCTAACACCAAAAGTTATCATCCTATCTTTCTGAAATTTATATGCATTATTTGAATTAGTAAAACGAAGAAGCCTATTGAATTTCAGCAATTTTTGTGTATTAGTCTAGAGTTAAGGCCCTTGTTTCACTTTATTGAACCTTGTGAACGCTCTAACGCCAAAAGTCGTCATCCGATCTTTCTGAAATTTATATGCATTATTTAAAGTAGTGAAACAAAGAAGCTTATTGAATTTCAGCAATTTCTGTTTATTAAGTCTAGAGTTATGGCCCTTGTTTCACTTTATTAAACTTTGTGAATGCTCTAACATCAAAAGTTATCTGCCGAACTGTATGAAATTTACATGCGTCATTTGAATTAGTAAAGAGGAGAATCCTATTGAATTTCAGCAATTTCCGTTTATTACTTCGAGAGTTATTGCCCTAGTTTCACTTTGTTCAACCCTGTTAATGCTCGATTGATGAAAGTTACATCCGATATGTATGAAATTTATATGCATCATTTAAATTTGTGAAACGAAAAAGCCTGTCAAATTTTAACAATTTCTGTAGATTACTTCCAGAGTTGAGACCCTTGTTTCAATTTGTAGAACCTTGTGAACCCTCAAACGGCAAAAATTATGTTTCGTTGCCCGGCAACCTATCTTTAAAATGGGTCATTACATGACAGAGTACACAATAGCTCAATATTTCTTAAAATTGAACTCATTCCTGCGCATATTATATAACTAACATGGCATTATGTCCATCAAAATGTGGACCTGTTTTAAAAGTTCAATTTGCATAAACGATATGTCCATATGGAACCGATTTGCCAGAAGTCAGGAACCAATTTCATTCAAATGATCATCTAGATTTGTGTAGTACCAACCAATATATAACATATAGTACATCATGTTCAGATAATTCCCTGATTTGAAATAGGAATTCAAAAGTTTAAAATGCGATTTTCTCGAAACAAGAAAAATGGACATGTAACATATGCATACTCAGCCATCGATATAACGAAAGACGCACTACACTATAAGAAGTACTATATTAAAAGGAAATCCATACTATAAAACAGTGGTTCTCAACCTTTTTTGCCAACGGCACAACTTGGAACACATGAAAAAATGGCGGCACACCTGGCTAAATATATATAAAAAATATTTGAATTTTGCAAAATAAAAACGGGGTAAGTCAGACGGAATACAACCGTAGACAGAGACTATAGTCATAGACACATAGAATGACTCAAAGTAAATAAAGAAAAACACAACTCGCTCATTCAAAATTTGGCGGCACACTTAAGAAGATGTCGCAGCACACTGGTTGAGCATCACTGCTATAGAACGACGATTGTAAGAATAACTATCCCTGAATTTGCCTTTTAAAACTCCTACGAAGGTACAGGTGAGATTGTTGAGGTTTCGAACTCTCCAACCAATTGAGAAGTGGTATAAGATGCTTATAAACTCATATCGTATGCATTACAGCCGATTGTTTAAAATATACTCTACGATTTTAGTGGAGTTAATATTATTTATTAATATTATTTTATATTATATTTTATGTTATAGTTGTGTATGCAACTACAGCAACTGCCTTCCAAACCTGCTTATACACATCCCACTGTGAAGACATATTGGCGAGAAAAGCAGCATCAGTCGGTCACGATGAATATGAGTTTTGTAGGTAAGTGATCTTTTATATTTAAAATACTTGTTGAAATTCTGGTGTATTAATTCATAATAAAAATTGACATCAAACGGGGTGTTGGATTTCTCTCTTTAAAAAGTTCAGTGTGTATGTATATAATCCAAAATGACAACAGAGACCATGTATTTCACAAATATTTTCAAGGCCGTACATTGTCTCGGGTACCGGGCAAACCCCCTCCTGCAAAAATTCCTGGATCTGCCTCTGCTACAAAATCATAATTTAAAGAGTTTTTAAAATGTGTATTAGATAAGTACAACAAAATCATATTATTATTATTTTAGGTAGTAAGATTTAGATAAAGAGCTGATCATTCTTGCTATAATTGTTCAAAAACAGATAATGCAAAATGAATATATTGAAAATTTGATACAAATTACTTTATTCTGGGCGAAGTTAGCGCTGTCTGGAGTTTAGACAATATGTGGCATTGCTTCTCCATTTTTACATTAAATCATTAAATGGGGACATCCTAGAGAATTGATTATGGGCTTGTCATGTTTTGAAAAGATGTGTGAATTGATTCCAGTCTTCTCCATTTTTAATTCAAATCATTAAATGGCTGGACCGCTATAATCTACTTAAAATCGAAGCAATCCGATGGCATCGAGGGTTTATATAACAACTGAAGCAAAAAAAAAAAAAAAAAAAAAAAGAGAGACAAGCAATGCAATATGCAGATTTAGCTCTTACAAACTGCATCTTTGATTGTTGTGTATGTTTAAGAGTTCAGCTTGATGTCAAATATTGTATGGGTATAAATATAGTGAAATTTTTAAATGTGTATTGGATAAATACAACAAAATCATATTATTAATATTATAAGTTGTGTATTTTTAAGAGTTCTATATGATGTCAGATATTGTATGGATATGAATAAAGTGAAATGCCAATCTGACACACTTCCAAATATTCAGAGATATTTAGACGACCTATTCCGAGGGCATGATAATTGCAGTAAGTAACCTATATTCTGGCCATTAGATATGGACCCCTAAGTTTTCATACGCAAATTTTTTGCAGGTGTATAATAATTATTAATATGCTCGTCGCTTGAGTCTATAGGTCCGTCAAGAATTTGCTGTTTTAAAAAAATCACTTTATTTGGAAAGGCGTATAGGTTTCGGTAACAATGACAATAATTCCTGACAAGTTTTACAATCCAAGCATTGCAGTTGGAAGATAGATCTCACAACTTCGAACCGATCGAGTGTTTATATGAATTGAAATGGGGTTTAACGTCCTACTTTTCTACTCCATCAGGCTAATGAATAATGAGATACGCCATGCAGTGCGCTATGGGTGATTTTGCAATGACATTATCTTGTTCTTAATTCCAACTGTTAAAGGTTCTTTTCCGTCCACGTCAACGTGTACGAGGGACCTCGGTTTTTCGTCTCATCCGAACAACTAGATGATGTTTCTTGCCAGACTCGCCACCCTGCATTACTTACAAAGGGAAACCACGCCAACACCGGAGTCCCCCAGGTTAGCGAGCCAGCTCTTGACGCACTAAGCCACCCTCTGTCACTGGGCTCGCGACAATATACCCCCCACTCAAATAGCACCTAGAATGTAGCATACATTTCTTTTATTGGGAATGAAATAAATACAATATTTTGTCAAATAAAATAAATATTTATTTAATTTTCAGATAATGCAAGTTTTCTCGGAGCATCTCTACTGATGAGTTCTATTGCCTTTTTAACCGCTAGATTACTCCACTAAAAGAAGAAGGCCATGACGCAGTAAATCTAGATAATAAATTATACCGATTGGGAACTAAAATGATAAATAATAATAGGACTATTATAAAGCGCTAAAATCACAAAACGTGCGTATGGCGCTATAACGATAACGGCAACGAAGCTCACGTTTATTATTTGTATTTAGTACCATGGTTTCCCCTTATCAGTGCTGTGGGCGAAGGGTCTAGTCGTTCAGATCGGACGAAAACCTAGGCGTGCACATAAAAGGACCCTTGGCAGTTGGAATTCGACAAAGGGTAGGCCAAAATACCGCAAAATTACCCCCATAGCACACTGATGTATGCCCGTCTGCATTATCCCGATTGGTGGAGAAACGTTGTACGCTATTTTTAAACACTACATGTATGGTGTATGCCCGTATTCATCATTAGCCCAATCGATGCAGACGTTAAACCCCATTTCATTTCATTTCCTAAAACGTTGCCGTCATTGTTTTCGTTGCCAATCTGATTAAAATGTAAATCTAAATTTTGTTCTGTTTCTGTTGACTTTCGACGACCTTCACTCCATAAAGATCTGACCGAGAGATTATGTCACGGGTTATTATTAATGTGAACTTTAAAATTCTAATTTATATCACATTTAAATTTTGTTTTCAACCACTGGTGATTCCCAGAATCCATTTTCAAAACTAACACAAAGCTCATAAAATAGATGATGTCATTGGCTAATCCCCCACGTTAATCAGAACGCTGTTTCTTCTACAACTGATGAAAACCTACTATCTTCGAAGATACGAAATTTTAAAAATGAAAAAAACGAAATATGATCTGTTTCAATCAGATTGGGACTAGGCCTACTAATTACGATTTATTCCTTTAAGCCGATTCTCAACGTAACCATCGCCATTATGCCAAGGTATTACACCATGCAGTCCCTGATATAAATGTCGTAATACCCCGGCCTGGTGCAGATACAGGAGAAACTTGCCATAGAAAAAATGAATGATCCTGGTTGATTTTGTCACGTCTAATTTCTATATGTTATAACTTACAGCTTGATGTTTTGCTTAAATTCGATATCGATTGATTTCTTTATAAATTGGTAGATGCTTATTGTAGGCCGGTTGGGAAGGTTTGGGAATTTCGGGAGTCCACAATGGCCGTTTTATATAAATGTGTATTTTGGGGAATACTAACACTAACTCTAACCCTTTTAAGTGGGGTAAAGAGTAAATTGGACCCAAGTTCAGTCTACAATTAGCATCTCTCGCATTAAAACCAGATTTTATTATGCATACATAGTGAAATACACCCCGGCTATGAAAATGGGGGATGGGATTAACAGTTTATCTTAACCCTTTAGCACCCAGTGTATGTAAATATTGATATAAATAGTTCATACCGGTATATACGTGGACAGCTCAAATTTTTTTTTCCTTAGACCACCCTGAACCGGTTTCGGTCAGTTTAAGCTCTAAAGAATCTATTACACTCAATTGCGTCTTGTATTCTCGGGTGCAAACAATAGTCGAAAGCAGCTTAGATACTCTTTTTTGCCTTGGGCCGTATTAGTGTTAGACCCATTTGTCCCCATTCGCATATTCAATTAGATTATTTTTCTTTTTAGAATGGCGTTTTATTACATTGTTTATATTACTAATATGCAAAACACTTTGATTATGAGGATTTCGTATTGAATTATGATGTAAATTTATGTATATACTGTTAATATTGATCACTTATTAAATCTTTTTTTATATAATTTTATGGAAGTGTTTGTTATTGAAGTCATGTTTTACACTGGGCCCGTATAGGTCTGCGTGAGAGGGTGGGGGTAGGTAAGTCTGAAGGTAAAGCAGAAACCACATATGGGATGGATGCGTTTGTGTAAAATGTTCCCTCCGGCCTTGGCCCCTCAACCTAGAAACATTGTCAAGGTCTTGGTTCAGATAGCCTCCTTGTGTTTATCAAGTCTTTAATATATGAGAGAGAGAGAAATGGGGTTTAACGTCCACTCGACACAAACTAGGTCATTTCGGGACTAACATAATATGGCATAATTTTATTTCAATAATTCGCTTGCGCAAAGGGGTCTTTAGCAGTGGCAGGAAACCGGATTACCCGGAGAAAACCCACGAGGTTGGACAGGCGATCCTACTCCTTGTCACGTACAACCGGGGATTCGAAACCACGCCAGTCGACTCAATGACAGACTTTATGATATAGCACGCGCACGCTAACCATTCAGCCGTCCAACACCCCCTTTAATATGGGTGTATGGGCAGAATTAACATTTAATGCAGTCTGGGGCATAATTTCGCTAATAAAGGCATGCGAGAATCGAGACTTAATTTTAGCTGATTAATATTGCCGAATTAACTAGAATCATACTAATTTGTAGACTAATATTTTAGGTGACCCCGGTTTTGATGGGTGTGTCCATTTAAGGATACAGGGACCAAGGCCTAGCTCTTTAGCTTTTAAAATATCATACCAATCCAATCCATTTCAAATAAATGGCAATTAAAAAGGCTACCGTGTAGCTTACACTTGAATGGTTAGGCAACGCGGGTTAGACTGCGCCCACACACCATTTTGTCAGCGGTCCAAATTAGTTACTTGTTCCCAGGAGCCACGCCTTTGGAGGGATTTTATGAATGGTCCTTAACACCACCATTGAATACTGCCTTAAAGGAGCTATATCGCTATTATTTGGCAAATAGATAGAGAATGGGGTTTAACATCCACTCGACACAAACTAGATCATTGCGGGGAAATCTGTAGATGGCCATATGAAGTAGATCTAACCATTCTTTTGGTTCAGGTCTATTTGACAATGCTAAATGCATATTTCCTCAAGGCCATGAGATGTAAACAGGGTTAGGTCATGTGGTTGTGGGTTAGGGCAAGGTCTTCGGTAAGGGTTAGCGCTAGCCCTGTTTACATTTCGTAATTATGCATTTGGCCTTGCCAAATATATCTAACCATTCTTTGGTGGGATGTGGTTAGCCTCATTCATCCAGTCGCTTTATTACAAATGGCCAATTTTAAAATTTTCATTTTGTCTTGAATACAGAAGCCCATCTTTTCAGGGTAAGATAACAACATCAATGTTGATTTAAATTGACCAATAAATGGAGAGTGTGGATGATACAGAGTTACAACTTTCCTCCTTCAAAAGGCATGATTGCACCTTAATTAAGGTTGTAAAATTTCTTAATCGCTCCTCTCTATTTCCACCCTGCTAGACAAGCTGGATTAACCAATAAGCAAAGTTAGCATGTGCTTAGGACATTATGGTAATGGTAGCACAACAGAATGTCTGCTTTGTTAGATGCAAAATTTAAAATATTTAATTTAAAAATTTAAGTTAGTTTATCTTTGTTTTTATCTTTTCACACTGTTAACTGTTTTGTTGCAATTAATGACGTATAAAATCCTAGAATAACTAATCACGTGCTTGGCGGTTGTTTGTGGTTTATTGTTTATATTTTCCAGCCCTGTGCAAGCGCTAGTGTCTAGTCATTTGGATGGGACAAAAAAAAAATAAGGTCTCATGTAAACATTGACATGCACGTAAAAGACCCTATGACAGTTGGAATTTGAAATAAGAGTAGGTGCAACACCATGTATACCAAGTTCCATTTAAATCAAAGAAAAAGCTAGACCAATAGATGAAATGGCAATATACAAAATTACATTAAAATGATGTGTTTTGGATTCTACAGTTCCAGATTAAATTGTGCATATAAAAACGAACTCATTGTCATATAAGCAGGTAAACAAATTTATTGAGTTCAAGTTATATTTTAATATAACATTGATGATTTCAACAAGAAGCAGATATATCAGCAACATAAACAGCAATACAAAATAGGCAACAAAACCAGGACCTGAGGTCAATTCAAACCCGCCTCCTCCAATCTGTAGTATCATTTCACAACCTAAATCATTTTTACACAGTAATATGGCACACAAATTGTTTATCTGGTTTTTAACTAGTAGCGTGTTAACTGTCTCACAGTCCTACATCCAAGTCAGGTTTATGGCAGAATCCAGCCAGATAAGTATCTAGTTAACAATTAACTCATTCATTAATATTTGAAACAAACCCTACCATATCCCTCACTTTCTTTTCAATATAGTGACTTTATGAAAGAGACCGATTTTATCCATTGTTACACGGCAGAAAGAAAGTGTTGACAGATGTAGTGATCTTTCTGAAACACAACTCTACCAATATATCTGACTTGTGAGTAGGACCGCATAAGAATTTCTAAATTTTTAGAGTTATAGACATTCTCGGCTTAATAAAACACTAATGTATTTACAGTGTTAGTTATCAATATATTTTAGGCAATCATTGTTCAGAGAATTTCTAAACTTAATATTGTCAGTTTTCTTTCCAGTTTATGTTATTATCGTCCAGAGAATATCAAAACTTTTAAAGTCATTCAGATTTTCTTCATTTACAATACATTTTAATGAAATATTTAAAAGTATCAGTGTCATGGCAAACCAGTTATTTTAAAATTACCTCTGGTTCTGTCTTGAGATTCTTTAGTAAGTTGTGGAGAGATAAATATGGACATTTTCTTTCAATTCTACTAAAAATCTAAATTTATAAAAATATGATAGATCCAAGTATGTGGTTAGTTAAAAATCAACATTCTTCTGTTTTCATTCAGTAAAACTTTACATCAAATTATAGGACACTTCTATGAAAACTTTTTTTTTGTATGGATTGACATTACCTACCAAAATATGCAAAATCTTTCAGCAAGAGGTTGATATTTTGTTGGGTATTGCATCAAATACAAACACAAATGCCTATATAACCTATACATATTCTCATCCATACCAGGTCATAGCATACAAAATCTCAACTAAGTATTAATAATAATGAAGGCAGTGTGCAAGACAAATGGTCAATAATAATTAATAATGAGTATGAACAAAATGAAGAGTTTTGGTGATAATGACTGACTAGTTTCTCCTAGGTAACTACTATATATTATATCAAACATCCATCAATCATAATGACAGCAATGTACAGCTGATAGACATCTAACCATTTGATACTAGAATACAATTGACGACCACATACAAAAAATGCATAGCTGGCAGTACATGAAGTTGTTAATACAAGTAGAATATTATATGATGACATGGTGAATTTAGAAAGAAATTAATAAAAAAGGCAAGGTTTCTCAATAGAGACTTATTATAAAGAAGACAATATTTGCATATGAAATGTTATAGGAATGCTGATAAAAACAGATTTTACATGGCTGACTATATACCAGATTAACATAGCACTAGGCAATAACTATAGCACTACAATGTAAAAGTTGAACAAAAAGACTTGAAGAAAGAACAAATGTAAGAATTGTCAATAAGACGGAAATTAAGAGAAAGATATTAGATAGATATATCCAATGGTGATAAAACATTGTGGTTGTCGGTTTCAATCATAGAATAACCTGTAGCATTAAGCCTGACCTTCTGACACCACTTGTTGTTCAATATTCTGTTTATTTCGTCTAACTTCTTCTATTCTTCTCTCCTAAAAATTAATTTTTAAAAAAACAATTAAATTTAAGATCTTGACATAATATATTATTGAGAATTTCATCAGGGCAACTGAACGATAGAAAATTTCCACCTGCCAAGGAACTTGTTTTACATGTAATATTGCAGTTAAGTTTTTATTCCCATCTGAAGGACTTGAAACCTTTTCGTCAGACACAGGTTTGCTAGAAGGAATTGGACAAGAACATTCTCTTCTAGTGGTGAGTGCAGTGTTTTTAACTTTAAGTCTACTAATAATATATTGAGGCTTGAACAATATCTAAATGATGATGACAAACTAAAAGATACATAATATTTTGCTTCACTTATTATGTGGGAATTCGGACCGTGGTTTCATGAATTAAAATGGGTGCTGAATAAGTAAGTATGAATGTACTGTGGACCAGCTATCTTGGAATTGTGTCAAAAATCGAAATCTGTACATCAATGTGCAATTGTCCTGGGAACTAGCATGTCGAGCTTCATGTCTATCGTAGAGTCTTTTTTCAAATAGCGTTGTCCCCCAAGAACAAGATGATGAGCAGCTCATGGGAACCAGTTTCTAATCCAAAAGTACCCCCAATTTGTAATTTCATTTGAGAAGTATTATCAACCCACATGTTCCTGTAGTCTTTCTTGAAGAGCTCTATACTGTTCTTCACGATTCTTCAAGGCCGTTTCCATCTTGGTAATAATTTTCTCTTCTGAAGCTCTATTCATACTCTCACTTGCCTTGCATACCTCTTGGATATGGGTAGCCTGAAAAATACATTTAATTATTTTCTCAAAAATTATCCAACATTCTTACAATTCCCACAGTACAGGAGTTTGATGTTACAGTACTCTAAAAACACAGAAATGTTTTGTGTTATAATGATGTCTATTTTATACTGTAACAAGGAATTTAAGACGTTACATATGTAAAATGGTCTCCAGTCTATGTGTAGGTTAGTACTAGTAAACTGGTCTCCAGTCTATGTGAAATAGTAGTTACCTCTAATTATTATAGTTATAGTGTACTGGTGTTAATTTTTCATAGGCTTGACTGACAGCTAAGAAATCTGATCTTTTAGTCAAACTTTTCATTATGATTGACATCTGAATCAAGCCAGTTAAACAGATTATTTTCCTTTTCAACCAATTGCAATACCAATGGAGACTATTTACTGTCTCGCAGTGTTAAATACTTGATTATAGTATAAAATAGATGGAGATATAACATGACATTATGATAATTTTATTGTGGTTGAACATTGCAACCTCAAATTCCTGGGACCTTATTCACAAGATCTTAAACTAAAAAGATTTTTAAAATTCTGGATTTTTTTTCCATTGTGTGAGAGATCAAATCCTAGTTACAATTTTCAATCTTATTCAGTGAAAAGATTGAATTCATAAAATATTTTAGTTTAAATAAATGTCATGAATAAAGTCTCTGTATGTTCACAACCATGAAAACCAACTATCAAATGCCTAAACCTCAGAAACCTGATGTACTTAACAGTAAACTAGTTAAATAGTGAACATTATCATATTTATAATAATATTTCTGGCAGTAGTCCCCAGTTCAACAAGAGACTTATCTCCCTTTAGTGGAGCGGTCTAAATGGAAAATGAAGTCAATTAGTAAATTTGTAATCTTTCAGAGGCATTTAGTAACTTGGTGCGATTCAGATTTCCCATTTAACCTGTTCAGTAAAGAAATCTGTTCATCTTATTCTTCTCAATCAAATTAAAATTATATTATAATTTCATTACATTTATCATTTTGATAAGTGTAAAAATTGTAATCTAACAGACTTTATATGACAAGTGATATTCTAGTGAAAGTTCTAATTCCACCAGCAGTCATTCTTTTTTGTTTGATTTTAAAAATTCCCATAATTCACCAGTTAACACAGTCCTGTTGACCAATGCAGGCAATTTGATTGATCAATAAGTACATGTGATCTAGACTCTAGCCAGCATCAATGGAAATGTTAATGCAGTAAACATTGAAAATAAATAACTGATTTTTGTCAGATTCAGATTGACCTTGCATACTTGAAGTCACATCATACACTTCCAAAAGTTTCTGGTACAATGTGTCTACCTCACATGTGTCAGACCCAAATCAACCCTACACCTAGGAAACTTACATGGTCTTTAAGTCGATCCATCATTTTTTGAAGTTGTTCTTGTCGGTTTTCTTCGTATGTTGAATACTTTATGGTGAGTTTTTGTTCAAGTTCTTTAGACATTTGATCACTACGACTACAAACTTCTTGCACTTTAACCAACTACACATATACACCAACAAAACAAAATTAAACAAACAATATTACAACAACTAGGTTTAATTCTATTTCAATTCTTGACACAAGCTTTAAATAAAGATCTGGCAAATGCTTCAAGCTATTAATATCTCGAATATTGTTTGAGAAACTTGAACCAGGTCTAAGTGAAAGAGAATAATTCACCAAGTTTTAAACTTCACAGTTAACACGGGAAATGCCATCATTTTTCACAAAAATTGAGTTAAAATATCTAGTCCAGTAGTGAGATTACAAAAATGTTCTTTTGCAGAGGTCTTGTATTGTATAAGTGCTCGCCACTGCCAATTTGTATTATGTCAAGATTGTAATAAAATTAAACAGAATATATTTAAGATGTATAGCAGGTATCAGAAGAACAACTAAAATAGAGAGAAAGTTAGATTTTATAGCAAAGTAGAGAGTAAGATTTGCATCATAACATGCTAAATATATAATACAGAGTAGTGGTTCCCTAAGTGGGGGATGAGAGCATCTAAAAGGGCGTTGAAGAAAACAAGGTTTAGGAAGTACTGATATAGAGATATAGTTATGGAGAGGCAATCAAAGCATGCATAGTAGTGACAATACTAAGTCTTTTTTTTGTGGATAAAAGGCTAAAACAACACATGGGCCTTCTTCTCGAAAATTTATTGGCTAGAAAAATGAAAGCATAGTTCCTTTTTTGTGGGCCAAAAAATTACAATTCTAGAATATAGTTTTCGAGAAGTAGGTCTTAGCACAACATTCAACTATCATTCGCTCATTCAGTTTTTAACAACACTCACATGATTTTTCATACGTTCTCGAAGGGCTTCCATAGCTTTTCTTATTTTTATTAGCTAGGAGTATATTTAAAGGAAAGTGTCTTACAAGGGCCAAGAATTAAAATCATACCAAACAAGACACTACTTATAATAATCTTTAATACAGAGTTAAGCCTCTTTAATTTAGGTCAAAATAAAGTGTTGAGTTAATCTGATGTGTTATTTCGATCAGTGATTGTTCAAGAATTACACTCCTATCAAATCTTAGCCATTGATATCAATAGGCCTTATGACAACAGTCATATTACTCTCATTCCATCAGATTGTAACACATAACTTACATGTTCTCTCAAACGTTCTCGAAGAGCATTTATTTGCGTTTCTCGATTTTCTTTGTTGGCTTCCATAGCTTTCCTCAGTTTTTTCTCGGTTTCCTCCGAAAAGATTTTGCTTTCCTCCTGTGCTTTTGCTACGATTTCTTGTGCCTTTGCCCGTTCTTTGGCCAACTGTTCCAATCTCTGGGCTTCAAGTGACTAAAAAAAAGAGAATAGTTTTGTTAATGTGTGTAATTAAGAAATCAGCACATCTGATGATCTAAGCATTAAAACAAAACCCTACAGAATGGGATGGCTTGTAGGAACATCAGTAGAATTATCATTTAAAATCAGATAAAATACATGTATGTTACATGTAACTATCGCATTTGCTAGCCATTTTCAAATGTTCGCCATGTCAAGGATAACTCTGAATAACTGAGAAATTTTATTCAAATTTTAACAACTGAGAAATTTCATTCAAATTTTAACAACTGAGAAATTTCATTTAAATTTTAACAATTATCAAGATATCGTAGATATAAATAAAGCCATAGAAGCTTACACGGATTCAATAATTAAATATAGGCTGTCATGTTTACAAGCTATTTTGACATATCTTGGCTAAGTAATGCCAACAAAACAGCGAATAGTTGACTAACTGCGTCCAGATTCAAACTCCTTCGAAATCTTATGGATAATATTGTAAGGCAAAATAATATGCTATATTAAAATCAGACCAAACTATCACATTAACAAACAATGGATAGGGGCAACAACATTACAACAATTGTTCACCCAAATCAAAGAAGGCTTTAATTAATATAAATACCAGTCTTCTCTCTTCAGCTTTTTTCAATTTGTTCAGGATATCGGCTTCAGAGATAACTTTCTCTTTAGGTGGTGTGACTGGTCTCAGGGGTGCCTCATTCACAGTGGCTGGTTTTAAGATTACCTCGTACGCCAAACCTCCAACTTTCTCTTTAGCTCCCTCTGAAAAGTGAAAATAGAGAGACAATATATAAACCTGTGTCAATCAGTATAATTTGCTGTCATTAAACAGCCATTATTCATACTAATTGCTCAATATGCATATCAATTAAACCCCCGCAAAAAGAGCCTCTTAAATAATAATATCATCTCTTGATAATGTTAAGTGTAAACATCATTATGTTCATTTACCAGTAACAGGAATTGTCCTAATAGTTTAGCAAATCAAGCAAGATTTAATGAAGATAGTAAGATTATTACATTACCAGTAGGTAGTATTAGGCATTGCGCTGTGGTTTAATGGTCGAAACTACGAAAGTGAGACATAAAGTAATATATTGATACTGCACAAGGATGTTAGTCTAAGTGTTGTTTCAATATATTACGCAATGTCTTGCTCGAGACCATTAAACAACACAGACACTATCCCCCATGTATGCATTTCAATGAAATTGTCACACGAGTCAAATATTTCATCTAGTATAAAATCATGTACAATTAGCCCATACATTTTGAAATAATGGTACACCAATAGGAAAGACTATTAGAGAGCTTTATCCCAGTTGTGTTTCAATCTGAAGCAATGTCATATTTCATCAAAATACAAATGGTTTCCTCATATAATTGTGTCTAAATAAAATCAATGTAAAATATATCTTATTTTCAATCATTTCAAAATTATATTTTTAGGTTCTTGCATGTATTCAAATAAACTACATGTATTATTATTATATAATATAATACTGTGTTTGATGAATGACGTGCACCTAGAAAATCTGATTACATTACAGATACTGTGCTAGTGAGTGTTCACAGCGAATATTGATTTTCCCTTTTGAATATTCAATTCTATTCAAGTATTGGAATGATCAATTTCTTGATTGCTTTGGTTTATTTTCAGATTCCTAGAAACCATTTAAGTATTCCTTTACCCCCCTTTTTTTTTTATTGAGTACCAGTTAATAATTCTAATGAATTAATTTTGGTAAATATTTCATTGGAGTCATGGATATAGAATAAGGAATACAAAATAAATTTTTAATGTTTGAATAGCCTTGAAAACAAATTCAAATTCGAATGTGAGAGCACTAACATACTTTGAAAAAAAAAACCCAAACACACATACCAACATTTAGACCATTTCTTAGAATTACACCAAGAACTAATTACAAAGTAAAATATACAATAAATAAAGGCACTACATATGATTAACAAAAAAATAAAATAAAATAAAGTGTATTATTATTGAATAACAAATGTACCAGTACATTAAATTCAAATCTGATAATTCCGATCTAAATTTCATTTTTCTATTTAAAATACACTTTGGCTGCCATCCCAAAAATAGAGACGTCTAGATTACAATAGTTACACACAATGGTAACACCAACATTCACTAGTTAAAGTTTGACTGAGCAAAGAAAACTTTTCATATTTAAGTATTATTTTATTTTTTTAATTTCTGTATAGTGCATACATGGTTTAAATAATAATGTGCTTTATTTAAAAAATAATGAGCTTTATTCCCACTCGGCAAACTTAGGCGGATTTTGGAACTCTACATCTAGCCTCGGCTGTATGTAGGGGTGATGATTTTCCGTTTCAGAAAATAGCATATTCCGTTTTAAGTATTCTTAATTCCGTTATTTTCCATTTCAGAGCTGACCATATTCCGTTTTTTCGAGATAAAATGTTATTTTATGAATAAATGAGTAAAACATCTTAAAATGCCTTTTATTACAAAACGGATCATTTTAAACCAATGATAACAAATGTTGAATTGTGAATGACTTGTAATGTTCAATGACTAGTTATTCTTTAAACCTGTTTCCCGAATTAAATAACAGAAAATTACATCTTGTGAGCTCGTTTCATCTTTTTAGCAGACAAAGCCATTTTTCTCAGCTGCTAGTTGTAGTCGCGATTTATCCAGACATCTTCGTAGTTACTACCGTTACTTCGAGAATAAGGGCTGGATTCACAAGGCTACGGTATATTTGTGATGTCACGTGGTTAATGCGGATAAACACTAGTCACGAGCTAGCAGACAAAGCCATTTTTCTCAGCTGCTAGTTGTAGTCGCGATTTATCCAGACATCTTCGTAGTTACTACCGTTACTTCGAGAATAAGGACTGGATTCACAAGGCTACGGTATATTTGTGATGTCACGTGGTTAATGCGGATAAACACTAGTCACGAGCCCGGCAGTAAAATAAGAAGTAAATGAAACGATTTTTACTTTTATGAAGTGACAGAAGTTTTTTTTAAGACATACATATACATTACAATGTTTAATTCAAGTTCAACTACAGAGTAATTGTATACAGGGATACAGGAAAGACGGGTTTTCGTTATGATTCCTAAATGATGAAATGAAAGTAGCTAAATACTAAAATAGACAGTAACAAAACAGACGAGGCTAGATGTACTGGCTGGAGTCTGCGCACTGAAATTTGCCAAGTGGTTTATTCCAAATCCCAATGACTTACAAGCCAACAGTGAGGCTGATGTCCCCTGCCAAAATCCCAAAATAAATAGATGACACATTAATTAATCACACATTTATTTTTTTCAAAAGTAACGAGCAATCAAACTACACTCTAAGTTTCATCACTATCAGATATAATCAAGATTATCTTGTCCCAAAGCATCGCTCTGCTTTCCCTCAGCAGATAATGTTCATTATCGAACTTAGTCAAGGTATTGATGTAATAAAGCTATACACCAAGTGTCCTCACTATCACTAAATTAGAACTAAAGTTATCGTATCCCAAAGTATCAACGAATCAAATTGCTTATCTCTGCTTACCCTGAGCAGAAAATGCTCATCTTCGAACTCCATCAAGGCATTGACCCAATAAACACCTACACCAAGTTTGAACATTCTAGCTCAATTAAAAAAAGAGTTATTGTGTTCCAAAATCTTGGTCAATCAAATTGCTTATTGCTCTGCTTACCCTGAGCAGAAAATGCTCATTATCGAACTTAGTCAAGGTATTGATGTAATGAAACTATACACCAAGTTTCATCACTCTCACTTAATTAGAACTAAAGTTATTGTGTCCCAAAGCATCAACCAATGAAATGGCTTATCTCCGCTTACCCTGAGCGGAAAATGCTCATCTTCGAACTCCATCAAGGTATTGCCCTAATAAACACCTACACCAAATTTGAACATTCTAGCTCAATTAGAAAGAGTTATTGGGTCCCAAAAAGTGTGACGGACAGACAGACGAACCCATTTTAATAGTCCCCTGCTTTCTTCGAAAGCCGGGGGACAATAAAACAAAATTAAATTATAAAAAAAACAGATTGATTTAATATTGGATTTATGGTCGTAGTTGAATATATACTTTAACAACATTCATATCCATTAACAATGAATGTAGTTGGTTAAATGAATCTAAACAATTACAATGTAAATGGATATCACAGACTGGAGATTTAATCAATGTTAAGTGAATAATGATAGAATGAGGTAAAGTAATGCGTATTTCATAAGTCGGATTTTTAGCTTATTCGACCAAAAAACAGAAGTCTGCTTCTTCCATTGGCTTGTCAAAGCAACAGATCATGATCTTAACCTGCAAGTTTTACCAGATTTAGTCATATGAAATACACATTTAACAAGGTGATCAAAAGGAAAAGAAAACAATATCATTACAAAAATCATGGTAGACAAAAAAATACTATTCCACAATACAATACATGTACAATTACCAGACCTTGCCATAAAAAAGAGTGATCACTCGTCTCCTAATTAATAAAGAAGGAGAGCAACGATCTACTCACCTCGGACATGTACAAATGTACCCCTTTGTTTTGAAGGGTTTAAGATTAATGCTTGGCTTCCTGTACCAGCTCTCAAATGAAATCTTAGTCGAGTGATCTTTTTCTCTCCTAGTACTTTCTTATGGCAAGATCTAAATATCACCACTATAGATTACATACAATACATGCTTTAGTTACCTTTTCCCTTCCACAATATAACTGCATCAAATGCACCTCTATTTGGATGTACTTTGTGATATATGGGTTTTTTGGTTGACTCCCGTAAGCATAGAAAAACACTTAACCAGTTACAAACTGATCAAGTCAAAAATAATACAATTATTCAGTATGCCAAGAAAAAAGTTTTATCTTGTATTCCTACATGTACTATAATAAGATATTTATGAAAAGCCCCAAGCCTACTTCCTAGATTTGGCAGTGTAGCATGGCATTAATAATAGTAACCTGTCACAAGAGGGGCTAAGGCAGAATCTGATTTGTGTTCTAGTACTTCTAGTCTCTACAAACAACCCTTGGAAGTATTGTCTCAATCAAAGTGATTAGCATACAGTCAAATTATTATTCTAACAGAGATAGAAGAAGCATCAGGGTTTAATATAACTGTTTAATAAACAACCCATAATTGACATTTATTAACCTTTGTAAATTGATAATTCAATATTATATTACCCTTGAGAAAAGCAATAAACTGATCCATATCATGTATCTATACATAATTTAAGAGTACTGTGTATATATTGTAACCTTATCCTTAACAAATAATAATCATTATAATGGACACATCCCTCATAACTGAAACCAAATATTTTAGCAATTAATTAGTAAAATTTTAAAATTATTATTATTTAAAGAAGAATCATCACTGGGGTGGGGGGGTCCTTGTTTTACAAAATTTTAGATAGAAAGTTAAGGAGCTACCCTCAATTTATGTTGGAATTGATGATATAAAAAATTAATAAGAAATTTTTTTTTAGAGGGGGCTACTGTTTACCAAAGTTCGAACAAAATAGGAAAAACAGAAGGAAAATTACTTTTTTTCTATTGATGAGAAATGTTACATTTTGAAGATCTATTTTTAATTAATTTGAAATGTTAATAAGGTATCAAACCAACAAAATTTTTACGTTATATTCGTAATCTACGTAAAAAGTTGACCTAGATAGGTATATTTGACTACATAACATCATTCAGTAGTGATTAAAAACCGGTCTTGAAAACCAAACTTTTCATTAATTTTCCTCCATTGATGTTATATTCGTGATCTACCTACAAAATTCACAGGTCTAACCTATTGAGTATTTATTTAGAAGCTTTTTTTCAGAGATCATTCAACTGAATGCAAAAATCAACAAAAACACATACATGTATATATTTACACACTTCGGATAAAGATTAACCAGCAGCTGCCAGGCAGGATACGCCCACATTTTTGAGAGATGGATAGAGAACAAGCTAAAAAGAAAGTGATTTTTCCTACAATCAAGGGCCATAATTCATGAAGTTACAATTCGATATGCGCAAATATCAAAAGGAACCAAGATCTTTGGGTTATAAACATGCATTTCAAGTTTCATCAAAATCGGATTGAAATTGTAACCTCTACAGGGTCCACAACCTTGATATACCATATTTTTACACATTTTGCGTACAGCAGCGGCCACTTTGTCTGGCAGTTTTGGTTTGATTTTCAGGAAATTTGAACTCAACCTTTATTATGGTGTTACGGTGATATATTCAAACGATTTTTAAAATCAGATAATAACTGAGACCTTCAGAAGGTCAACAAGCTAAAAGAGGCGATTTTTCGTATAATCAGGGGCCATAATTCATGAAGTTACGATCCGATATGCGACAATATCGAAAGGAACCAAGATCTTTAGGTTATAAACATGCATTTCAAGTTTCATCAAAATCGAATTAAAATTGTGACCCATACAGGGTCCACAACCATGACATATACCCTATTTTTACACTATTCGTGTACAAACGGCATCCATTTTGTCCGGCAATTTTGGTCCGATTTTCCCCAAATTCTAACTCAACCGTCCTTAGGGTGTAACAGTGATATAATACGTTTTTTTAAATCTGATAAAAATTATGAACTATATAAGGTCCACAAGTTAAAAAAGCGATTTTTCCTATAATCAGGGGCCATAATTCAGGAAGTTACGATCCGATATGCAGCAATATCGAAAGGAACCAAGATCTTTAGGTTATAAACATGCATTTCAAGTTTCATCAAAATCGAATTAAAATTGTGACCCATACAGGGTCCACAACCTTGATTTACCATATTTTTACACTATTAGCGTACAAACGGCGGCCATTTTGGTCCGATTTTAACGAAATTCGAACTCTACCTTCCTTAGGGTGTAACGGTGATATAATAATACGCGTACAAACGGCGGCCATTTTGTCCGGCAATTTTGGTTCGATTTTCCCGAAATTCGAACTCAACCTTCCTTAGGGTGTAACGGTGATATAATAATACGTTTTTTTAAATCAGATAAAAATTATGACCTCTAATGGGCTCTATAGGGTCCACAAGCTAAAAACACGATTTTTCGTACAATCAGGGGCCATAATTCAGGAAGTTACGGTCCGATATGCACGAATATCAAAAGGAACTGAGATCTTTGGGTAATAAACTTACATGTCAAGTTTCAACAAAATCGGATAAAAATTGTGACCTCTATAGGGTCCACAAGCTAAAAACGTGATTTTTCGTACAAACAGGGGCCATGATCCATGAAGTTTCGATCCGATACATGCCAATATCAAAAGCAGCCGAGATCTTTTGGGGATAAACCTATATTTCAAGTTTCGTCAAAATCGGACAATAATTGCGACCTGTAGAGAGTCCACAAACAAATTGTGGACGGACGGACGGACAGGGGTGACGACAATATACGTCCACATGAAAATGTGGGCGTATAAAAATATACATCCTTAATTGTGATCTATGTACCAAATTCATCTAGAATGGTGGATTTGGTACGTCTAACCTATTTACAAGGTTTTTTTCAGTGATCATAGTAATTCATAGGCAACTTTTCATGAAATGTCCTATTGAATGCGAAAATCAGCAAAAACACATGTATATTTAAAAGTTAAAAAAATAAACGAGCGGATTTTGGTATGTTATAGAAGGGTAGTAAAAAGTTTTATTTCTTGTCCCTTTTTAATTTTTGCCACTTGCCCCACATAACCAAAATGAATGGCAACCAAGATTTTGGCGGGAAACCAACTTTGGGGTCTGATAAGTGATATCTTTGGGATATAACATCATATGACCGTCCTATATTCAATTCTATATTGAAATTCCATTGTCTGGGAGTTAAAACAAATTTTAGACATCTAGACAACAATCATAACAATGGCTTTTCTAGAGCACTCCAAAGTCGTGAAAAATAAAATGCTTATTTTTTTTTTCGACTTTGATGGCAACCCTTAGTTTAAGCTCACCATCAAGTTTATGAACATATACATCAAGCGCTCACTAACACTAAGAGATCAGACAATCTTCACAAGGAAACTTAGCCATCACTCAAACAGACATTCCTAATCGCTCCATGATTTTTTTTCACTCTCAGGGAATCCAGTATTTTTCTTTTAAGATTGGATGTTTCTACTTTCCATACTAAAATTGCTAATTTTTATTGGAAATAACCACCTGATAAATACTTTTGTGGGAAAGTAACTTGAATACAGTATACATATTTTTTTGATGGGGTCAGTTTCCCACCACTGGCCCACTTGACATGGACTGACCCATTCACAGATTCCACAAATTGAGCAAGGGCAATAACTCTTGGAAGTTATTATCAAAAATTACCGAAAATGCATCAGACAAAATTGATTGGATGTAATGGGCGACAGTATGCGATCACATTTCAATGTACCCTGTAGGTCTTGTAAAAATCTTAAGCTGGGTATTATTTATTATTCTAAGAAATATCGCTTGATATATTAATCCATTGATATCATTACACATGTATAAATTTAGAACAGAAATGACTCATCTGGAAATCAATGATAATAACAGTAAGTCAGAAAAATAAATCTATTTTCAATGTTACCTTGATTCTAAATCTATTAACAAATAGCCTAAAAGCAATGTAGAGCACAATTTTACAGACAAATGTTATGACATTTATATTCAAGATTTTTTCTCTAAAATAATCAATAACTAAATACTGTAAATATAAACCCATGTTCTTTCTTAACAGTTGATCCAGTTTTATCTCACTCTGATGGAATAATAACCCAAGATCAATATTTCTACAACTACTAACTAGTGATAGTAAAAATACATAATTCAAATGCTCATTACAGTAAGTGCCGTTACCGACTTGAGAGCCACAATGACTCAGTGAGTAAGATGTTGGCTCGCTAACTTTGAGGTCAAGTGTTCAATCCCAGTGTTGGTCCAGAAAGTTTGATTTTCCGGCATGGTTCCTCTCTTGTAAATGGTACAGGAAGGAGGGACAACATGTGTATAGTCATTCGGATGTGATGAAAAACTGAGGTCCCGTGTACTTACACATTGGCATACACAGAAAAGAACCCTTGACAGTTGGAATTAGGCCCTAGTAGTTGGAATTGGAAATAAGACTGTAGGGCCACTGTCTAGGCAAGATTTTCCTCAACACTGTATGTTGCATGACCTTTATTAGCCCAGAACAGTAGAATGTTAATCCCCATTTTATTTACTAACTTTGAAAAAATGGACGAAGCTCAACCAAATTACAAAAATATCAATTATATTGTAAAGAAATGTTGGTTCTTGCTACATCATGAATAGACTGAAGGAAAGCGGAAAATAAATATCATTTCAGATGGGGATGGGGGACAGAAAAAATGTCAATCAGATGTTTTAATTAATCAAAATTTACATCACTAATTCTCGATTAAATCAATGTTAATAAAAATTTAGCATGTTTCAAATTTATTTACAATAAATTGTTCTTTAATGTTTATCTGTTAAATGTTTTAAGCAACTTAAAGTGTAGATGGATTTTAATGAACTAAATTATCATTTTTTTATATTTGAATAACCCCTCAACAAAATAATTGTTTAAAAAAATTAATGGCCAAGCTGATTGTACTATTAAGATACCACGAATGTAGTGCAAGAGATTTCATATGGAACCATGTCCTACAAACTGTTGACCCTGAGATAATACCACAACACACACCGAAAATTCAAAAACAATAGTAAAATTTAATTCTTTATTATTTATAAAACTATTCTATTTCTATTATTTCATATTTCACTGAATAAAACCTCCATTTAATCTGCACAACTGTTGTGCATCAATCAGTTCTCTGAAATTATCTATCATGATACGCATACATAAAATTAGCTTGTCTGAATAAATTTTCACTTTTTTAAAAGTTAGGTCTTCACATAACTTACCTTGAGACATCTTGATTTTCTTCTAATCTGTGCAAACTGCAAACGTTCACCCTAATTCCGGGATTTTAAATCTTAAATAGAAATCAGAAAATAAATGTAAATAGGATCATACCTCACCATTTCATTCCCGATTAGCTGTAGAGATGATTAAGAGGATGATTATGTCATCCTATTCTAGACAATACCCAGTTCAAGGTAATGAAATGCAGCTCAAACAGTCAAGAAGACTAGAATGAAAAATCCCAACCTAATGAAACTTGAGATTATCTTTCCACATTTGAGGATATGAAACTGAAATTCCTTGCCCAAATTATGGAAAGTCAAGATTTCTGTCCTTCCCAGTCCAGGTTCCTCTTCTACGTCTATGACTCAATCGGAAGCCAGTCAGATCAATCCAGTCACATAATTATAATAATTCATTACAGACGTTGTCTAAGGTTATTCTATCCTTACCTAGTGGTTCAAAATTAATCCATAAAAAAATCAATAAATAAAAGAGTAATAAATTACATTTAATATTTTTATTCAAAATTCCAATGAAGTTTTATTACACAACACAGAAAAATCCATCAAATAAGGGTGACCTAACAGGTCCCCATGTCACAGAATGGTAAATTCCTCAACATCAGACATTATAATCAATGCCATTGTGTGGCTATAGAGCTTGGAAGTTCTTAGCAAGCATTATGCTAGGGCAAGTTCACTATGGTATAGAAGGCAGACAAGTGAAGAGCAGAAATATTGATTTTATGAGCCAACACAACTGTGCAAGAACAATATATAGACATGTTGTACCAGATAGCATCTGCATTCAAGTTTTAAATGAACACCTGAAAACAACCTATTAGTATTACCGTAAATTTTATTTGGAAGAATAAGTTTAATTCTATTCTTCATAAATAACAGGGTGTTATTCACGTGCAAAACAGTTTAATTAAATCATCTTGAAATTATCATATTGACAAAATCTGTGAATTAGAATATTAATTTATCTATTAACTGGTCTGAAATAAGAGATGCACAACTACCTTCCTGTTAGAATATTAAATTCGCTAAATACTGTAGGCCTACATAATATATATTTTTGTATTATGACAGAAATAAGAAAACTACTTTACATCAAGTTTTATTTTAAATATAAATTCTAAAATAAGTATTTACAGTTTGCCAACAAAATATGAATTATAAATATTACTAAGCAAAATTATAATCCATTCAATGAAGGAAATGGATCTATTTTCTAAGTCAAACTCACTAAATTTTACCGATTTTTTTTTTTTTTCAAATTCAAATAAAGTAGTTTTAGCAGTATTTCTAATCAACCAAACGAGGCCGCTTTTAAGCTTACAACTTACCTGTTGAAAATGGTAGATAAATGATGTTCCTTACTAATAAATGATTTGTTTTAAACTGGCACATCTTGCAGGGATTTCTCATTTTAATACTTCTTACAACTCAACAAATAACCTTTACAACTAAGACAAGTTTGAAAACCCTGAAACCTGATTGGTCAATTCAAAAGCCAGATTCAAAATGGGTTCTATGCACACGATATAGGTAACTTATGTCTACATTTTTACTGATTGACATTTCTGTCTATAAAAAGGTTTATTTACTTTTGGTCTCGCCTACTTTTTCAGTAAAGACTAAACCGTTGAATGATAATGATTCATTCATTTAAACAGCTCTAGGACATTTAAAAAGTATCAGTTTTATTTCAAAACTTAAATAACAAAATAAAAGAATTAATAATAAGTCTGTTTATCAGCTATATTATGAATATTTAAGATGACTAACAATGCTTTGTGTGTTAAATAGAGATGTGTACATTTTGTATTTTTTCTCAAACAAATATAACTGTCCAATTTAATAGTACCGGTACTGAAATTGAATGTAGGCTAATCCTTTAAATTAGTACAGCAATCTTAAATAAGAGAAATCACTAAAAACGAACAATCTTTAAAGATACATTATGGGAGATTAGATAAAGAGCTGGCAGTTCTCACTATAATACTTAAAAACTAAGTAATGTAATGGGAATTTGCTGAAAATTTCAGTCTAATTGATCCACTCTGAACCAAGATTTTAGCGATTGAATTTTCGACTTAGCCTCAATCTTCATTACTAAAGTCGGTACGATGAAAAAAATAGTCTTGATTATCCATTTCATGATTAAAATTGTGAATGGAAGTCGAAAAGCAAATCGGAACCTAAGCCAATAAACATTGCAGGCTAGCGATGACATCGAGAGTTGATTATGGTCTGAATAAGTTAATTAATGTCTAATTAATAATTCAGATAACATTTCAGGCCTTAAGAAAGATGTGCAATAGGTTGATTTAGCTCTTGCATAATGTATGTTTAACTAAAGATGAATTATTTTTAAGAGCTACATCTGCCTATTGAAAGTCTTTATTTTGGCTTAAAATTAAAATCCCACGAGTTTGGACAGGCAATCCTACTCCTTGTCACATACTTGACTCAATGACAGACCTTCTGATCCAACACACGTGTTAACCATTCTGCCACCCAAACTCACTATCTACCAATCAAATGCAGTAGCTAATACATTTCCTAATTCACTGGAATCACTGCCAATATCCTTTTCATTTAGCCCTCCCCCTCCTCACAAAATGAAACAAGAGTTTACTTTTTTTGATAATCTGCATATAACAAAACACAATTTTATCATAAATCTACATTTTATTAGATATTATTAAACATGCATTATTATGCAAGAGCTAAATCTGCCTATTGCAGGTCTTTCTTTAGGCCTGAAATGTTTTCTAAAGTATTAATTTGACATTAATTAACTGATCCAGGCCTTAATCAACTCTCGATGGCATCAGATTTCTCCGATATTAAATGGATTAGAATGGTTCAGCGATACTTTGATTTAATCAAATATGGAGGACTGAGACTTAGCTTCGATCAACCAGTACGTGGGTGAAATTATTGCACACGTCTGTCAAACCTTCAAAGGCTAATATCTTTGCAATAGAGTAATTTGAATGAAATTTTCAAATTATTCATTTTACATCATCTACTTTCGAACTATTATAGCAAGAATGGCTAGTTCTTTATCTAAATCTTACATAATAATGTATCTTTAATCTTATTTCCTTTGCCTTGTCTTTTGATAATATACTATTCAAAAAAAGTAGGGGATATTTGATTTGGGGGGCATAATACTAAAATATGCAAATGACTACAAAAAAAGTCACTATAGAACCTAACAGAAGAAACATTTCCAGTTACATGTGACGCCCAAACGCACCAATAGCTACCGCATGGAATGCATGTGATGCTTGGGATCATCATGGGGGTCCAACCCAAGATTTGCACGACTCTGACTTTGAATGTTACAGTCATTGTGGCATTGAATTCCAGGGTGGAAACATCAGTTTAATTGTTTCAGTGACCAGAAAACAAATTTTGATATGCGTCGGCTTACCCAAAATGAAAGGTTACGTGCTCTTGGCATGCTACAGATCGGCACAACACAGGCGGTTGTGGCGCGGACGATGAATGTTTCTCAGTCTGTCATCATAAGCAGGCTATGGTCCAGATACCGTGATACACAATCTGTACAGGACAGACCACGCTCAGGTCGACCAAGGGCGACAACTCAAGCCCAGGATCGATTTATCCGTACCTTGGCCTTGAGAAATCGTGTCATCACAGCAAATCAGATCAGCGCTCGTCTTCAAACAGACACTGGTGTGAGAGAGTGGCCAGACGATTCGGAATCGACTGCATAGGGGACACCTTCGCGCCCCACGTCCTCGCGTGATCCCTTGTTTGAGAGATCATCACATTCAGGCAAGACGTCGTTGGTGTAGGGATCGTCAACACTGGGATAATCGACGCTGGAGCAATGTGATGTTTTCAGATGAGTCAAGGTTCACTGTTGATTTTTTGGACAGACGTAGGAGGGTGTGGCGTCGTCGAAACGAGCGCTTCCAAGACGTTAACGTCATCAGACATGATCGATTTGGGGGTGGTTCTGTTATGGTGTGGGGAGGCATCACTGTTGCTGGAAGAACGGCTTTACATGTTGTTGCAGGGCGTGTTACAGGCTAGTACTACCGGGACAACATCTTGGCAGTCCATGTTGTGCCGTTCGCACGACGTCATGGCCGCCGTTTCATCTTCCAGGATGACAACGCAAGATGTCACAGGGCCAGGATCGTTACAGGTTACCTCCAACAACAGAACATCACCACATTACCTTGGCCAGCACTGAGTCCCGACCTCTCCCCCATCGAGCATGTCTGGGACATGCTTGGACAGAGGTTACGTCAACGTCAACAACGTCCTGCCAATGTCCAAGAACTTGCTGCTGCGTTGCAACAGGAATGGGACAATCTGGACCAAAATGACCTTAGACGTCTCATTAGGAGTATGCCACGTCGGATCAATGCTTGTTTGGCAAACAGAGGAGGATTTACCCGTTACTGACTTGGTTGTGATGCTGTGGTAACTTTGCTGTTTGACCCCGGGTATCATTTTACCCTTATAATGGTCAGTCTGTGCCTTACTTAGTCTAACGATCATTTGGAATAAATCGATGAATGTAAACTTCATTTCATTTTGTCATTTGTTTCTTCGTCAGTTTCATTAGGTGACTTTAATAACACTTAAAAATCAAATATCCCCTACTTTTTTTGAATAGTATATTTTACTATCCTCATAAATTACTGGAAAATGTTCAATTCTGGTGACTCTGGTGACACATCACAAACTATCATTTATTTGATTATGGGATATAAATGAAACTCACAAAAAAAATGATACACACTTCATCTTTATTTAATAACATTATGAACACAAAAACATAGAACACAATTAGTGAATTACTATTTTAATTAAAGGAATAACAATCATAGAACACTCAAGGAATCGTTGCTAAAAGCTTTTAAAAATCAAAATAGTAATAATTGTGTTCGATATTTTAAAATATGTTTTTTTTTTTTTGGTGTATCAACTCCCAAATGCTGCTCAGAGACAGTGAGTTGCGTGAGAGAGAAATCCCCCCAGAATCAAAATAGTAATAATTGTGTTCCATATTAAATTTGGGGGGGGGGAGGAGGGGGGGTATTTGGTGTGTCAATTGCTAAAAGCTGCTCAGAGATAGAGAGAGAGAGAGGGAGAGAGAGAGAGAGATGGGGTTTAAGGTCTACACACAAATAACATGGTTCAATTTTATTTCAATAATATGCTTGCGCGTAGGGGTCTTTAGCAGAGGGAGGAAACTGGAGGACCTGGAAAAAACCCATGTGAGGTTGGATGGGTGACCCTACTGGCTACTCCTTGTCACGTACAACCGGGAAATGAAACCACGCCAACTCAATGACAGACCTTATGAATATGAAGCGTCACCCTTCAGCCAACTATCCCCC